GTATTGTATGTGTGTTCAATGTTGATATGCAACCATGTACAGGAAATTTCCTTTGGGATAATCAGTCAATCAATCAGGAAAATATCAGTGATATGATCAATAAGACCAATCTCATATATATGCAGGACCTTTGGTTTCTACATGTTTTGACATGGTGTTCTTGTCGTTTAAAGGTTTGTGTAAATTCACATTAAACAACAGCGGCACGACTTCCAGTGAGTTTATGCATGAGGTTCGATGGTGCAGTGTTTTTTATTGGATCTTAATTACTTAATGATGGCTTCGGTCCTTTTGTGTCAGCTCCATGGCCATGACACTGGGAAGAGCAGCACTTAATTAATCAAAGTCGGTTACATCAGGAAGACACACATGAGGGGGAGGGTTTTAATAATTGTGGTTCCACAGGTAGAGGCCATTATTCATGAGTGCGGAGTCATAATGGCTGCAAGGAGAGGGGAAAATTAAGCGTTGACTGCGTAAGTTAAAACTGAAAAGTAGTGTTGTTTTCACGGGCCCGTTGAATAAACTGCCAGCACTACTATCATATATCATCCAATCAGTGGATGCGATTTGGTAATCACAATGTATACATTTTCAACTTACATGACTATATTTTAAGCTTGGAATAGCATGTGTTTTTTCAAGTATTTGTCAACTGTGTTACTCTTTCAAGCCAAAAAAATAATTCATGGTAAGATTCTAATCACTTTAAAATATGCTGACACATCTTTGGTCCTAAAGTTGCCCCAAATGCTCATCAGAACCAGCATGAGAAACTGATTTGAGAGATAGAAGCTTGGTCTTACATAACATCCTCTGAATATGACTGGGTATGTCAGTGTTCACGAATAGCGTCTGACCCTCTGACAAATCCGGCAGATTCGCCAACGGTCAGACAGAAGTCTACAACCCGCCGGCCCCAGTGTCTGACTGTATATTTCACAATGACTTTGACTGAAGTTGTTTAATGTGACATGTGACACTTGTTTGCTGTTTATAAATCTTATGTTTGTTAATAATTTCAATGTCAATTATGAGAAATATTAAATCTGAAATGTGTGTATAATTTTATTCCATGGGTCCTATGCATTTTCAATGGGTCAGACAGACATCTGAAACTTACAGGACCCAATGTCCTGTGACTTGGAAACACCATTCGTGAACACTGTCATAATGTAAATGTTAGGAGTCTCTGCACAAACAAATAACAAATGGAAGACAAGCGTTGTAGATTTAACACCATCAGGTCACTATTGCTTCACTGAACATTTATTTACAAACATTGGCTGCGTACAGCAGTTTTGCACATACCAAGCTATATATTAACCTATATGACTGAACCAACTGAAACAAAAGAATGTAAATCTCATACTTTGTGCTATAAAAACAGTTGAATTGATGATATCTATAACATCGCAAATTTGATTTTACACGATAAGATACATTATTTGATATTTGTGGATCGCTGTTGCTGGTAAATAAGTAAAGAAAGAATAATACTACATTACGGGTGACATTTATTGCACAGACTTTAATTGCATTCTGGCCATGAAAAGAGATCAAGGCGATTACGTAATATCGGCCAATGAAGAGTTAATCAAGCAACCAACTAATCAATTAGCATTCAGTCAGCACGTCCTACACTAGTACTACACTGCATGCACGGTTTATGGCTGATTCAGCGAAAATCCTTCTTAGGCTACGGAAAAAGGCGTTCTCACAATCGATCCTAAAGGGGCAGTTGGTTCCACACAGTTTTCGTGCTATCGGCACCATATTACAAACATAATAATAAAACAAAGAGAGGACACGTCTTTATTCCGACCAAGCAATATGAAACAATGTAGATAGCAAGGAACAAATCATTGAAGCTGGAACAAGTTGAGCACCCACCTGACAATTGACTCGTATTAGCATGTATGAGTGCAGCCCACTGGCGCTTGCCATTGTTAGCGAAGGGGTCCCAGGTTGTCCGCGATCACGTGTAGTGCAACTTACTACTTCGACGTGAGAGTCTTTTGAGCAAGGCATGTGCAGATATGTGCGGAATCAATTAAATCGCGTGCACTAGCCTACATCTGCTCTACCTTTCACAAACCAATGGGGTTTGCTCATTGCCATGCACCTACTACTTCTCGTAAACACTTTCTCTGCGTCGGCCTAACTTATCCTTGTTTGCCTGTGTGTCTGAATGTCCCTGAATCGTTAGACAGATCAGTTTAGGTGAAGCATGTCGGCAACATAGTCAGCAGACTCAGTGTGAGTGGTGAGGAGCTGCTCAACAAGGTTGGACGTCAGGGTATGAAATCTGGAGTCTGTCAGTCGGTATTTTCTCTTGCTACGGGTGCTCACTTCAGTAGATTTTCTCTCCCTTCTTCCTTCCAACACGAAACTTGTACCCATTGAAATATACATTAATAATTTAATATCACGTCCAGACTCAATGAAAATCAATTGTACTTGAAGCGTTAGGTATGGTGTTTGGTACATGGGTGTTAGTACCCTTATATATTAGTGCTACTCCCAGTTAAAATGAAAACACAAACTCACCATTTAATTTAAAGTTGAATGAAAACACAAAGTTCATACATGCAATTGGATTATTCACTAATCCCAGTTGAAATGAAAATTCAAATTCAACGTTTGCTGACAGTATTGTTGTTTAATAAAGCTCTTCAGTGTGTACTGTGCATACACCAGCTTGAAAGTTGGCCGTTGCAACTAGTGTCCGGATTAACTCAGCATCATTTTATAGTACAGTGATTATAGAGTTTTGTGCGATCGGTCCCAACTAATGGATTAATACAATCGGCCAACACTGCATACACTACCAACAACACAGAATAGTGCTCAAGTTTTCACTGGACACAAAACACACCTTACACTACAAACACTTCCAAACCCACTAAATAACACCCAAACCTTCAAAACCTTAGGTATGTTTCTTATCCAAACTGGCCTTCTAGTTGTAATGTAACCAACTAGTGCTAACTTAAAAAATACAAAAACAAAACTTAAAAATAAACAAAACAACCACCAACCAAACCATCCTGTAGTTCATCCCCCCCAACCACTTCTGGCAAATTTCGGAAATAAATTTCATGCAAATTTAATTATACAACCGTAACGCTATTAGTTAGATTCAACTGAAACTTGGTCCCATGTTACATGCATGGTACATGTGTGTGTCTCGTTGTGGAGTGGCATCCAAATCTGTAAAATTCACACATACTTCTCTTCAAAAGTTTAGACTAGAGGTGTGGCGATACGGAAATGTCATGATACGATACGTATCGCGATATCCTGGAACGATACGATTCGATTCGATGCATATCATGATATGCTATCTTTACTTATTTTCTTTAAAAAAAGTATATTTTGATAGCAAGTAACAGTGTAAATTTGTACATAACCGTCAATTTCTAGTGTACATTAACAATTTTAAGGTCAACGATACCTATCACGATATGAACAAATGTATCGATATATTTATTGTCAGATAAAGTATCACGATTATCGATACTACGATGTATCGTCACAGCTCTAGTTTAGACTCACTTAAAACACTCTCACTATATGTTATGTATATATATGATCACATCGAAGATTGATTTCACTACTAACTTGGGGGAACCAACTGCAAACTGTCTGCAGATGAATTGCACGAGGATCATGCATCATATTGCTGAAAAGCATGTGCACATATCATGCATGTGTACAGTTTTGCTTAGAATTCACCAATTTTCACTAATTTTCATCATTTACTCATGACAATAATCTTTTCAACGTTATGAATTTGTTTTTCAATACATCAGTTCATGTGTAAACAGTACCTTTAAACAGTATGGAAATATTTTGTTTAGAACAGTTGCCTGAAGTAAGTGGCTATATTTACACCAGTGAGTCTGAAGTTTTGATGAGAAGTATAGATGCTGCAGTTTGAGCAAGATGATACTGCGAGAAACCCAAATGAGGTACATAAAAACATAGATGTCTCCCTAGACAAAGACTAGCCCACACCCATGTGAGGGAGGAAGGGAATGTCCTGCTAACCAGACACCAATGAATGGTTATCACAATGTTCTTTTTGTGTTACAAATTGTTACCTTCACTCCCTGGCCATACATAAGTTTCCGATGTGGCTGACGCTATAACATAGATCACATCTTGGAAACTGTTATTGCCTCTAGTGGTTCATCATAGGTTCTGATGTCCTGTGTAGCTCGCAGGGGGGCAGTGGGGTATCCTACTGGTTATAGCATCTGCTCGTCTCACTGAAGACCTGGGTTCGATTCCCCAAATGGTTGCAATTTGTGAAGCCCATTTCTCGTCCCCCGCCATGATATTGCTGGAATATTGCTAAAAGCGATCCATACTCACACACTCATTACTAACAATTCAGGTTACAGATTGTTAATTGTTTTTATTAATTATTAACAACATTTACGTTAGATATCACATTTCACACATTTACTAATGTATGCAATGTTGTGGTTATTGTAGGAATAACAGAAATAGTATTTACATTCCATGTGCTGCTTCTTGGATTCGAGTAACAGCCAGGGAAAACCTCTTGTGACACACTGCTGCATATGTGCCTGTAACACACACACACACACAAACATGTTTGTTTGGGAAGCTGATAATTGAATGTGACTTCCAACACATTTACCCGACATTTCAGTGCTTTTAATGAATATTATGATGCTTTCTCACACAGAAATTAATTTAATGCCACACTGAGGAATATTCCAGCTATATGGCATCAGTCTGTAAATAATCGAGTCTCGACCCAACAATCCAGTGATCAGCATCGTGTGCAGTGAGCATTGGGATACGATGACGTGTGTCAACCAAGTCAGTGAGCCTGACCACCCGATTTCCTAAGTAGAAAGAAAGGTTTGGGCTCAGCAATTTATTAGTATTCAGAAATCTTGCTTAAATTTAACCCATTTTCAGATCTTTCATTTTCAAACATGTAACTCTCTATTTTATTTCAGAAGACAGCAAGTGAACATCATGGTCCTTCCAAGAAATCATCATCTGGCAATAAACTTCCTCTTGTCTTTATACCTGGGCTAGCAGTGGTTAAAGCTGCCAGTTTTGGATTTGGGATTAAGCCAGCCACAAAAGGTAAATGAGATGAGATACATGCAGCCTCTACTGTTACAACTTATTTCAGATGTCTAGTCACGTGATCAACATGATCCTAATAAATCAATTAATCCATTCATGCATCATTACTAAGTAATCAACCTGTCAAGGTCCGGGTTAGAATGTGCCTTCAGTAACCCATGCTTGTCTTCAGAGGCGACTAACGGGATCGGGTGGTCAGGCTCACTGACTTGGTTGACACATGTCATCGGTTCCCAATTGCGCAGATCAATGCTCATGCTGTTGATCACTGGATTGTCTGGTCCAGACTCGATTATTTACAGACCACCGCCATATAGCTGGAATATTGCTGAGTGTGGCGTAAAAGTTCTTACTTAGCACTTCTCTGTTCAGTATATGAACTACAAAGTACAAGTGATATCCGATGGCTGTAAATTATGGTGTTGGGGTGTCCTTGTGGTTAAAGCATTGGCTCGTGATGCCGAACCTCCGGGTTCAATTCCGCAAATGGCTACAATGTGTGAAGACCATTTCTGGTATCCCCAACTTTGATATTGCTGGAATATTGCTAACAGTGGAGTATAGTTAATTTGTTAAGGCATGTTCTATATCTTTTCGAATTTTGAAAAAAGAAACCAAAAACAAATAAAACAAAATAACCCAGGACATTTAACATTACAATCAGTTAATGCTCTTGAAGATGCTCCATATGAAACCCGGTCCTGGTACATACTGCTATTTCCTAGTCAGAAATTTGCTTTCCTTCTAAATGTGCCCCATGAAGACTCTTGTTTGCGTAGTTAGAGTCAGTCTTCATTATCCAGCAAACCAACATGTTTAGAACTGCTACATGCTCTCTCCACACTTGGAAAATGTTTTACTTTCAGACTTCGTTATTTGATATGTTGGAACATAGTAGATAAATTTGTGGGTTTTATTTAGTGTAGCATGTTTATTTCATTAAGTGACCTGACAGTTGATTCTTGCAATCAAGAAAATGTCAACATGTTAAATCTGTGTAAACATTTACTGTTATTACTTTTATATTTTTATAAATGTTTCATTAATTTGTTTGTTTTAAACATATTTTATTCATGAGAAAAGGATCGGGTACAAGTTATACAACTTAGAACACCCTCTCCGTAGTATTTACATAGTATTATTTACATTCATTCTACAAGATGGACAGAGAAGAACAGAACAGAAATATGGGAAAAAGAGGAACAATTGCAACAATTAAGAAAATCGTTTTGAATGACAAATATATGTTTGAACAATTTTAAATATGTTTTGATTTATGTGAACAGTCAGATCTGCATTGATCATTAATTTTCCGACTGACAAACACTTACAAATAAGCAGATAAGAGTGGAAACGGAGCACACAACTACAGAAGCAAGTTTCAACCAGCAATCTTATGTGTGTGATCTCAAGTTGGATTATGGTCTAATAGATTTGCTGTTACCACCTGTTCATGCTGTGTTTTTGTGTTGACCAGAGTCCCCACCGAGTGACCCAGCTGCAGCCCAAACCCAGACCATTATTGCTGAAGCCGACCGTCTCTATGAAGACAATGATCCGATTCAGCTGTACAATTACCTCATCCAATTTAAAGACATTGAAAATGATGGAATCTTGTGGCGCCTTGCTAGAGCTTCCTGTGATAAAGGAAAATTTCTTGGAAAAAAGGACAAAAAGCAACGACGTGTTTGTGTTTACGAAGCATTTGAATATGCTAAGAAGGCACTTGCATTAAATAAAGAAAACTTCGCATGTCATAAGGTATGGATGTTATATTGAAGTTAATTTTAGTGAGAAGTAAAATAAGTTTATATTTTTACAGGAATAAACATGATGATCATGATGAGGATATTTTGAACTTTCAAAAGAACATGGTTTTGTAAGGAAATGATTCAGAAAATAACCAAACATATCAAACAATTTATGAAGTCTTTGACTCAAGCTGATCTTTCATATGACGTTTTGAGTTTTTCATGCCTTTTGGTCATATTTATGTTCTAGATTATGTGAAGCATTTGACAAAAATAGATCCATCTTTTCTGTTACTAAATCTGACATTTCATTTGGAATTGATCGCTATCTATATTTATAAATGTTAACGAAATAAGATACTGGGCAGTTTGTGTCAGACTTTTTACAACAATTGATCCATTTTTTCTTTTACTTTTAAATATGACATTTGGAATTGATCGTTATCTATAACGGAACTGAACACAGCCCATTTTTTGTTGGCCACATCTATCTTTCATTACTTTCTGTTCTGTTCACATGTCTTGACACAAATTGATATTTTCACTTCCTTGCACTCAGCACATCCATAATATTTTTGAAAATTCCAGAAAAGATAAATACTTTGTTTTGCTGTTTGTCAATTTTTACCAGTGGGAATTTATAATAATTCATGATTACACAGTGCCATTTAGAAAGTGGTCAAATGTAACATATGTTATATACACGATTACACTTTCTTAGTAAAGTACAGATTCTAGTTCTGGGTTGGGTCCCATCCGGGATTCGAACCCACATCCTCAGAGTCAGGCACCTAATCGCCAGCACACAATCGGCTCCCACGTCTGAAAGCTATGATTACACAATGCCATTTAGAAAGTGGTCAAATGTAACACGTTATATTCGGGATTACACTTTCTTATTAAAGTACAGTGGAAGTCGCGGTGGCTGAGCGGGTTAGGCGGCTGACTTTGTGTGCTGGCGATTAGGGGCCTGACTCTGAGGGTGTGGGTTCAAATCCCAGATGGGACTAAACCCAACAAAACAACTAAAATCTGTACTTTACTAAGAAAGTGTAATCCTAAATATAACATATGTTACATTAATTTAGTTGTGGAATAATACTGCTGTCGTTGGTGCTAAACAGGTGCATACTAGTTTAATAAAAACATGTTAAATAATAGAATACCAAATTTTAAGTTAGTACTTTGGTGTAACTTAAACAATTCGAGAAATTTGTGAGAAATGTGTTCAAGTGTTGGAAGTGAGTTCAAATCATAGTTTGTCAGCTCCATATATATATGACACTCACTCACTCACTCCTGAATATTTTTGCTGTTGTATATTAATTCTAATTCTGGGCCTTTCGACATTGGTTTCAAATTAAGGACCACAATTCAGTCCAATGAGTTCCACAATTCAGAGACAAGTAAAAATCAGGAAAGTCTAGTGACTTTTTCTTATGCCAATTTTACAATTACTTTAGATCATTTTTGTGGACGAATGCTGAATATCACTGAATAACAACTACTGGTGACAAAATTGGGTTGGATGTATTTGTAAAGGCAAAGCTACAGAATAGGTAGGGAGTGTTGTGATGGAAGTGAGCTGATTGTACCTAGATCTCCATTGAGCTCTGCAGACAAAAACTTGCATATAATATGCCATGTGATTAAGCAGCGCTGTCTTCAGTATGATAATTAGAATGCTTCTATGGTGACAGTCAACTCAACTTGATCATCATTAATTCCCTGGGCTCATGAATTGTAATCAGGCTGTGGTGCAGATTAGATTTCCCCACCCACCTGTTCACCACTGTAGAACAAAATCTGTCAATTTGGATACTTGCATGACAGAACAGGAGGAATGAAAAGAAGGGAAATTGTTTTGTCAGATAGGCAAATATTCCTGGACAGCCAAACAACATGGGAACAGTGCAACCTTTATTAATGTGTGGGAAATGTCTGGATGCTTAGGTTTCTGGATTGCCTGAAACAGACCTCTGATGGGACAATATCATTTATCTTACCTCGCACATAAATGTCGCTTTGTGATTGGCTGAGCACTCTTCTATTATTTTCAATGTACCCCGCTTACAAGCGAGTAACATTTCAATGTACCCCGCTGTCAATGGCAACTCATTTGGTACCTTGTGGTAGTAATTCTTTATCTCGAATAACATTGAATCACATATGATGTACGGAAATTACTGATGTTTTGTGAATGCAAATCGATGGAAGGGAGATAACTCTAAATCTGTTTTTCTTGTCGGTAAAATCTAGCGATGGCTACAAAAAGATTTGTACCTGTGCTTCAGGTACTCAGGGCTCAGGGAACATAAACAAACATCGAGGGTACATGAACCCATGCCCCCCTCGTGACCAGTGAACAACTTATAATGTATCATGAATTCTTGTTCATGATTCAATACATGTAACAGTACAATATTTGTATTATCATGCTTAGTATTGCAATTCAAATACAGCATAAGCAAACATAATCATGACTTTGATGCTAAATGTTTCCTTTAGTATAACTGATATTGAGACAACTCTGAAATATGCCAGACTTCTGTTAATTTTGTATTATAGTTTAACAAAGAACAATCTGAGATATTTTAATTTCCAAGACTTGGTATTGCAGTATTGAGTTCCATATCGTGGTACATTGGTGTATCATTTCAGTCCAAACTCCCAGCAGTTAATTGATGTGTCTTAAACATGCATAGGCTCCAAACTTCATTCCTTTATATCTCACTAAACCAAACAATTTCTAAAAGAATATAATTACATTTTCATCAAGATGGCAGTTATAAAATAATTTTTATCTAGTTTCATTTCTGGTGTAAAACCATACTCACACTCCTTTATCCAGTTTAGTTTAGTTTGACTTTTAAATGTACAGTAAATTTATCAGAGCATTCCAAGTTTTATGCAAAACCTTTCTTTATTGAAGGTATGTCAGACCAGTTTACACACCTAAAGACAGCATCTAAGGAATTCGTCTCTTTCAGAAACAGTTCATTCATGTTTTCTTCAGATAGCTGTAGTTTAGTTTGTCTGATAAGGAGTGATGCAATCTGTTATGGGATGGAAACGTTTAGAGTACTTCTGTACTCATATGTCCAAAATCTGCAAGTAGTAGAAAAAAGGTTCATGGTCGGTCATATCTAAAGAATTTCAAAACAGTGTTTTATTTGTTTCTGTATTAAACCTGTGAAGATCCGGGTTAGAATTGGTCTTCACCAACTCATGCTTGTCGTAAGAAGATCGGATGGTCAGGCTCGCTGACTTGGTTGACACATGTCATTGCATCCCAATTGCGTAGATTGGTTTTCATGATGTTGATCACTGGTTTGTTTGGTCCAGACTCGATTATTTACAGACCGCCGCCATATAGCTGGAATACTGCTGATTGTGGCATAAAACAACAAACAATCAATCAATGTTTCTGTATTACGAACTAATTGGGGGTCCCAAGAGGTCACTTTGCATGTAAGCCCATTTCCATTAAGTGACAATGCTTGTGATGTTTGACTGTGGATGTTTCAGTGGTATGCGATACTGCTGGATTACACAGGGGAATATGAAGGCACAAAGCAGAGGATATCCAATGCATACACAGTCAAGGAACATTTCCTGGTAAGTTCCAGTACAACACTTTATGAATTATTTGCTAAAGGTGATATTGTCGGGGCAACAAATTGATCTCTCTGGGGGTCTTTGGTTGGAACTGGTCGGCAGCAGCCTATGCTGAATGTACAGTGCAACTTAATGGATTGGGTAGTGACTTCGTCGACTGTAGGTCATTGTGCCCTGATGGTATATAATATAGATAGATGATCGCTATCTATCACTGGATTGTCAGGTCCAGAGAGGATTGTTTACATCTCAGTATTGTGGAGTTGTTTTCAAGAACAAACCCTTGGGTAGCCTAGTGGTTAAGGCGTTCGCTTGTCACACCGATGACCCGGGTTCAATTCCCCACATGGGTACAATGTGTGAAGCCCATTTCTGGTGTCCCCCGACGTGATATTACTGGAATATTGCTAAAAGTGGTGTAAAACTCACTCACTCAAGAACAAACTGAGTAAACCACAGAATAGAATTCCAGAGTTTAGAAGAGGCTGAATATTGTTTCACTCATCTTTTGTATTATTTGATAGAAAATCTGAACATATATCTTGTCCCAATTTGGTGTATACTATGTGGAATTTTCTACAAATTATCTAAGAAGGATCAGATATGTTCAGTTTCATCATATTTTTAACAAAGATGTTACCATGGTTACCAATAGCATGTTATGATTTCAGAAAGCAATAGAGTTGAACCCCAGAGATTCTACCTCCATGTACTCAGTGGGATACTGGTGAGTGTCTCAGTCTTAGATATGGAAGCAATTTACACAACACTTTGTCGAAGTTGATATGGATCCTGAGTTAAACTGTCAATTTGTAAGGTCATGAAATACATATTATATTTGACAGAGAAGAAAAAAGGAGTTCTAGTTCCTGTGTGTGTTGTGTTTTAGAAGATTGTAGTTTGTCTGATGCTGTAGTTTTGTGCCCTGTGACGTGAGCTGATGTTCCTGTGTGTTGTATCTAGGTGCTATGCATTTGCTGACCTGGCGTGGTACCAGAGGAACATCGCTGCTGCTTTGTTTGCCTCCCCACCCAAGTCTACCTATGAAGAGGTGAGTGGCAATCGGGGTAGTGTAGTCAAGTTAAGTAGTAGTAGCTTTCTGTTTTGTGATAACAGGATTGGGTGGTCAGACTCGCTGACTTTGTTGACACATACCCGAGATTGTGGATTCGAATCTAAGTTCGACCCTAGTACGTTCCCAGGTTTTTCAGAACCATACCCGTTCTCAACTCCTGAAGATCCGGGTTGGAATTGATCCTCAGCCAACCCATGCTTGTCATAAGAGGCGACTAACGGGTTTGGGTGGTCAGACTCGCTAACTTGGTTTACACGTCATCATATTCAGATTACGTAGATCGATGCGCATGATGTTGATCATGGGATTGTCTGGTCCAGACTTCATTATTTACAGTCCTCCGCCATATAGCTGGAATACTGCTGAGTGTGGCTTTAAACAACAAACCAACCTACCAAATTCCTATTTGTGGGTCTTAGAATTCGGGAACTCTGTTTAGTGGACATCAGTGACCTCACAACGTTTAGGAAATCAGCGTCATGTGTTGTCAGATTTACGGGTTTTATTGAGTATTCAGTCCCAGGAAATCACATTTCGTGGTGTGGAGTATAAGTGAGTGAGTGAGTTTAGTTTCACGCCGCACTCAGCAATATTTCAGCTCTATGTCGGCAGTCTGTAAATTATCGAATCTGGACCAGACAATCCAGTGATCAACAGCATAAGCATCTATCTATGCAATTAAGATAAGATGACATTTGTCAACCAAGTCAGCGAGTCTGACCAACCAGGGTTGGGTTGCTGAAGATCAATTCTAAACCGGATCTTCATGAGTTGTGGCGAATGAGGATAAATATGGCCATATTTGAAACTTCGTTTATGCTATGATTGATTGATTATGATTATGATCTTTCAAATGATTGCTCTTTTCATTGTGTCTGTAGGCTCTGGAGTACTTTCAGAAGGCTGAGGAAGGTAAGATATTCATGTCTGTACATATGTATGCAGTAAATAATTAATAGTTGGCATGTTCCTTGATTTGTGTTGCTTGTCAAAAGATTGTTTGTATATTTTTAAAATTTTACTTCTATTTCTGCAGTTATTGTTTTTTATATATATTTTATTAGTAAATAAACTTACTGTGACTTCAATGTAGAGGTTTCAGATGAGGATTTAATACAGTACAATTCATGATAATTTGAGTTCAAGCAATTAAGATGTGTCATAATGCAGTTTGAAACCTCTTTAATTGAAAACACAGAAGGTTTATATACTTTCTACCCTGCCACAATGACAACAAAGGCAAACTTTCATAGCTTATAGAAAAAGTTGAGTGACATCCATAATTGATACTTGAACCTCTTTACTGAGACACAAACCACATAGACAGATATCCTGCAAGCATTATTCAAACTGACATCCCAAGAAAAATACAGTGACCTATATAATATTGTTTGTTTTTTCAAAAGTAAACACCGCTGTTATCACATCAGAAAGTACAAAAGCACTGCCATGATATTGCTGGAATATTGCTAAAAGCTGCATTAAACATTTACTATATTCATTAGAAACGAGAAAAAATTGAAGAAAGAGAAAATCTTAAAATATTTTCATTTCATAAAGTAAAAGGTCACATAATACTTTTGTGTCATACTCTTCTTTTGTTAAGGGAGGGGGTGGGGGAATGGGGAAGTGGCGGTTGGATAGCCTAGTGGTTGCAGCGTTTGCTTGTCACACCGAAGGCCCGGGTTCAGTTCCCTACATGGGAACAATCTTTGAAGTCCATTTCTGGTAGTTCCCGGCCATGATATTGCTGGAATAATGGTAAAAGTGGCGTAAAACCACTCACTCACTTGTGTTATGGCTGTATGCAGATATTAGGACCTTGTATATTGATGTTGTATATTGATTGTGGTGCTAAGGAGTAGCATGCTGTATGTTTGTGTGCCTTGATTCCAGTTGACCCGGGTTTCTACAGCATGAACCTTGTGATGCTGGGAAGGACGTACATGCATCTAGGCAAGCCTGAACCTGCAACCCACTACCTGAAGCAGGCCATGCAGTACCCAGTCAAGACAACTGATGATGAACAGGTACACAGAATACACAGCTTTTTCAATATTGTTTTCTTTGTCCAACGTTTCAACCTCATAAGGGGATTCCTTCTGACCTTAACTAATCACCTGATATAGTATGAGATATTATGAGTAATATACATGTACAGTACTTGTGTCACTTCCAGTATTATTGTTGAACTCATCTTTGTTATTGATGCACTTCCAAAGTTTCTGTTGCTCTTCCAAAGTTACTGTTGCACTTCTTCCAAAGTTACTGTTGCTCTTCCAAAGTTACTGTTGTTCTTCCAAAGTTTCTGTTGCTCTTCCAAAGTTACTGTTGCACTTCTTCCAAAGTTACTGTTGCTCTTCCAAAGTTACTGTTGTTCTTCCAAAGTTTCTGTTGCTCTTCCAAAGTTACTGTTGCTCTTCCAAAGTTACTGTTGCACTTCTTCCAAAGTTACTGTTGCTCTTCCAAAGTTACTGTTGTTCTTCCAAAGTTTCTGTTGCTCTTCCAAAGTTACTGTTGTTCTTCCAAAGTTACTGTTGCTCTTCCAAAGTTACTGTTGTTCTTCCAAAGTTTCTGTTGCTCTTCCAAAGTTACTGTTGCTCTTCCAAAGTTACTGTTGCACTTCTTCCAAAGTTACTGTTGCTCTTCCAAAGTTACTGTTGTTCTTCCAAAGTTTCTGTTGCTCTTCCAAAGTTACTGTTGCTCTTCCAAAGTTACTGTAGCAGTTCCAAAGTTACTGTTGCTCTTCCAAAGTAACTGTTGTTCTAACAAAGTTGCTCTTCCAAAATTACTGTTGCACTTCTTCCAAAGTTACTGTAGCACTTCCAAAGTTACTGTTGCTCTTCGAAATTACTGTTGCACTTCTTCCAAAGTTACTGTTGCTCTTGCAAACTTACTGTTGCTCTTCAAAAGTAATTATTGCACTTCCAGATTTAGTTTTGCAATTCTAGAGAGATTGGTATTTGGACTATATCATATTCCATTTTATGTAGCATTTTGAGTAGATCTCCTATTTTCAATATGGACATAGTTTGAAGTCTTTTTAAAACATACTGTGAACCTTGTATATGTTTCATTTTAATGTATTTATTGTGCATTATGATTATTATTTTGACTGAAATTAATTCTCTTTTCAGGCTCACAGAGAGGCAGAGGAATTATTGAAGAAGTTAGGAGTGAAGCAGTGAAAATATACATTGGAAACCTCATGAAGCAAAATGTTAAAAAAGCAGATAATTTTGATGAATGCCGTATGTGGTATTTATAAACATGTAATATATGCATGACTGTATCACACACTTCTGTCTTGTTACACATGTGTGTTTTAAACCAGGTGAATGAGAGTAATAGGTTCTTCTGTGACTGAGAGAGAGATGTGTCAGTATTGCGTGCAAGAATCTTCTCATGAATATGCAGTCTGTTTGAATGTCTGTGTTGATGGCACAGAACAAATTATATAGTTTGTGAAACTCTTCTTCATCATCATCCATCCACAACTGACTGCCACAGGAGACTGATTGCTAGCATCATCGTGCTTTTACTGTAGTAGCTCAGGGTAAAACTAGATCATATTACACTGCACATGGGGGTGGAGCATACTCTGTTTCTCATTTACATATAAATAAAAAAGTCTGAAAAATGATTTTGAATTTTCTTTTGATGTCAACTGTATCTACTTTTGTAGACAAGAGTTTGATGTTTCTTGGCAAGCCACAGATTTTTCATCTTTCTTTGACCTATATTAAAATATATTTGATATCAATACACACTTAGGTGATATTCTGTATGGAAAATGTATAGAATTATAACTGATGTCATAATGCCACTGATTGAATAACTGGTAAATAATGTCATCTTGATAGTTATCAGTCTACGATCATGTCTAACCAACGTATTCATAAATTTCATAAGGAAGTTGATATTGTTTATCATATTGTTGTAAACTGTCAGTAATTTAATGTGGGTGATGTGGAAGCTCTGATGTTGATGTGAACATACAGACTGATAACCTTCCTTTGTTGGTATCATTATCCATGACATTTATTTGTAAATTTGAGAAAATATTTAGTTTATAGAAATGTGTTTTTCTTACTCCAAGTAGGCATTTTGAAATTTCTTTCTTTCCATAAGAAGACATAAAGAAGAGTGTGTTTGAATTTCATCTATGAGTAAAACTGTCAGCTGTGGATGAATCCCAGATTTTACCATGACATTATTTTTGCAAAGCCAGTACTATGGTTTGCATTAGTTTATTATTGTATTTCTTCCACACTCAGCTCACATGTCCTGGTAATATTAAAATACTGTTCAAAGGTCAACCTATTCTTGTGTTTTAATTTTTTGACATTTTTTGAAAAGTCTGAACTGAGTAATCAGCTGTCATGGATACACATACTTTTGTTTACTGCTAATTCCATGCACCTAACCCCTACACCTTCTACCTTAGTTAACTGATTATATATATTGTACATACTTTGCTCTCTCTTCTCTCTGGGGGTTTACAACATGCTCATTAGATAGTAGAAATGCTTCATTGTGGAATGATATTCCTTTTATAATTGTGTGGTTTTTTTTTCAAATATTTTTCTCCCAATCTGACACTGTAATTTGGGGTGATTTACTTGTGAAGTGAAAGTTCCACAAAAGCCTTTAGTAAATTTTATGTTGTTTCATTTTTGCTTGTAATAGACAACCCATTTGCAATATTTTCAAAGGGATTTTATATGGAGACTATTTATTTTATCAGGTACCACTGCAAGACAAGATAGGTTCTGAATGACATAGATGAGCCTAAATATAAAGTAAATGAAAGCCACCCACCCTGCCACAATTTCATTTTTGGGCAGATAATGTATAGACATTCTGATGCTTAATGGTTTCAAACCTTATCTGGGACCATTTGTGTTTCAGTGAAAATCTAGGACCTTGTCGATAATACATACAAAATTGGTCTCTCATGCACACTACATGGTGACTACAAATTGTGTTTGACAGATTGTATTATGTACTTCTAGCAGGCTTAATTCAATGAAATGCCAGTGAACACTCTGTTGGATAAGGAAGACCTATTATCTGATACCACCTAATACAAAACAGCTACACCAGATCAATGGTCAGCTAATGGGGAAATGTTTATGTTGTTGTCATCTCTGTTTGTCAAGATGAAACACTGATTGTCACTAGCTTGGCTCATTCATAGGAAATCATTTAAATGGGACCTCAATCACCTCCCACATGATGACCTAGTCTGTTAGACTGTCAGTGTTTTCCCAGAGGTGTTTCCATACATCTATGGTAGGTGTTCAGGTTGCTGTAGTTTGGACAGCACCAAGGCCATAAGCTTTGAAATGTTGTAAACACATAAATTATTGTTACCTTGCATGGTGTTGATGATGTTGACGTGGAATTGATATGCCCTTTTACTCAGTTTTTATATACTGCTTTTAGCTGTTTTGATCACTCTTTCTGCTGATTGGACTCCATGAAACAGGATAGCTCACTGATAACAATCACTGTTTTTAGCAATATAAAACTGTTTCTATTTTCAGACCACTTTGGCTTTTAGTAACACTTAATGACGTCAGAAAATAAGAGATTGTTTTTACTGAATGTGTGAGTGAGTGTTGTGATAAACCAATTTTTGGTTTCTATGGTAAATATTATTTGCAGTCATTTTTATATTTACATGCATTTTTTTTTCACATATTGATTATCAGGACCAGGGGCCCATTTCGCAAAGCGATCGTAGCGCTATGACTGTCGTAAGTCTATGTTAAAGTATGGCAGTTACCATCACCTTAGCACTACAATCACTTTGTGAAATGGGGCCAAAGATGTTAAGGAAAGCACAAGCATTACTCATTTTATGATACCTTTATGTGGGTGACCCTTGGTATAATTTGCAAATGCAAATCAGTATTCTCCAACCCACATATGTACACATGAGCTGGTATCATTTTGTCAGCTGTATTTTAGCATGTCCATGTGTGTAGTGTGTGTATTTATTATTTTATCAACAGGAACAAATGTTTGGGAACAAGTGCACTCACTGTTTTTCTCCATCCTTTATGTTTTACCATTCATTGATACACTGATATGTTTAGACTGTTCATTGACGGGTGTGGTTCTCTGTCTAAGAGGTTGTTCTGTGTGTTGCTGACCCTGTGATCAATAAATTGTTCAACTCTCATCGTGTTTGTCTTAAGTGAATGATGGGTTGTGCAGTATTGTTGTCACCTTGTGTTGCTATTTTCATTCTCAAACGTATCTATGATCGTGTTGAGACTTAATACAGTCCATTTGAATTCATTTGTTACTGATGAATTGCTCACTAACACGAAAAACTAATGATTGCAACAAAACCAAGTCACATGAAATCGACAGACTAACTCTGATGATTTGTCTCATAATTTTGGACACCTGAATAAAAAAGATGTTTAACAAACGATCATTATTATGTCTTAATTTTCGAAATTTCAATTTCACACGTGCAACTCGCACACCTGGATGTACTACCAGCAAGTGGTACCCCTCGTAAAAAATAGCGAAAAGTGACAACATAACAATGATCGTTTGTTAAATAACTTTTTTATTCAGGTGTCCAATTTTTTAGACAAATCATCAGAGTTGGTCTTTCGATTTCATGACTGCAAAATTTTGTTTTGTGGCAATTTTTAGATTTGTGTTAGTGAGCAATTCATTGGTCTCAAATTAAATCTAAAGGACTGTAACAGAAGACCAACGAAGAGCTACCGAGCTCTGGAACATGTACACACTTTACAGTTACAGAGACAGGATCCCATAAAGTTTACATTTTAATCCCAACCACAGTTTAACATGCATATGCAATCTTGTGACCTTTCTCACTATGGGGATATTATCTGTGGTTGTGTAATTTGTCTGGCTTTATATTTTTAAAGTGTATACATATACCACAGTGCGGATGGCCTGTTATTATTTAGCAAAGGTAGCTTCTTTAGAAGACAACATAAAGGAATCTTGGTTTTCTGTTGATTTCAAGTGACATGGTGTTTGAATTTAGCTTTGGGTAGACCCAGTAGGCTTTCTGGTGCTTTTTACTTCTGTAAAATTTGAATTGAAGAAAGGAAATGAATTCTGATTGTATTGTGGTCTTGAGCAAGTTAATTACCTGGTATTTTTCATTTCTCCTAGAGGTGTGAAGCAGTTTTAATGTGAGTGTGAGACCTGCTTTTGTAACCCTTATTAGTGTCTGGTTATTCTGTAAGTCTTGGCAACAGATGTGTGTACAAGACTCTTCATGGTAGGTTACAACCCTGAACATCAGGGTCAGAACTGGTCTTCAGCAACCCTTGCTTGTTGTAAGAGGCAACTAAAGGGATCGGGTGCTGACTTTTTTAATGCATGTGATCTTTTCCCAATTTCGTGCCTATGATAATAATGTCAATCACTGAATTTGCCAGGTCCAGATTGATTATTTACAGACCACCCTCTTATAGCTGGATTATGGCTGAGTGCAGCGACAACAAGTAAAGGTTGAACTTTTAAAGCACTTTTCGTCATTTTTATTCTGTTATTAAGATCCAGGGCCTAGATTTTCGAAGCTCTCTTAGCACTAAGATAGTCGTAAGTTAATGTTAATGGATGGCACTTACGACTATCTTAGCCCTAAGAGAGCTTCGAAAATCTAGGTCCTGGTTAGAATTGATCTTCAGTAACCCATGCTTGTAAGATGCGACTAACGGCTTCGGGTTTTCAGGCTTGCTGATTTGGTTGACACATGTCATCGTATCCCAATTGCGTAGATCGATGCTCCTGATGTTGATCACTGGATTGTCTGGTCCAGACTCGATTATTTACAGCCCGCCGCATATGTTTGGAATATTGCTGAGTGCGGCGTTAGACAACAAACCAAACCAAACCCGAACAAACATCCCAACCAATCAATATAAGCCTTTAAAAAGCACCTGCACAACGTTCTGTTTCTTGTACCCGTTTTACACTTTCAACGTGATGTAAAACAAAACAAGTCGTCTCAGTGTTTGTTATGGCGGGTCCTCAACTTTATACATAGTAAATTATGCCTCTGTGAATACTATAGCTTGAATCATTTACTGTACAAGACAATACTGCTATTTAGATTTGTAGTCACTCTACCGTGTGTTCAATAATTATTCAATTGAAACGGCGGCGAGCAAAGTCCCCAGATATATAATTCATTACATCCCGGAAACCGATTCCCCTGGCTACCGTAAGTGACCTTTCAAAATCCACCCTAGGCGATAACTTGATTTTCTAACGGAAATTAACAGTTACTTTAGGCGCGTATCTATATAACGGGCAGGTTAACGTTTCGTGTTAATCACCGAGTCAATCTTTTCCGAGCTTAAAAAGTTCTGAAGTGGCGGTAGCTTCTAGCAGTATTGGCTGTGAGGAGTGTGTGATTAGAGTTCTACATTGGCTGTATATATATTACATAGACAAAGGAGAGAGGATTTCGGTGCACATTGGAAACATATTGAAACAATAAGGTATTTGGCATAAATGAATTAAACAATAAATATGATTCAAGTGGTTTGCACTGTAACACTCGTGGCATGGAACATTTCAATAAAGCTATTTTATTAGATAAGAAGTATCGAGAAAACAAGACCTCTTATTTGTCATTTAATATTTTAGTTATTTATCATTGCGTTGGTGATATGCACAGTTCAAAGTGGAGCGGTATCAAACACCAGATACTATTGGTAGATTGGTGTGAGAGGTTGAAGCAACATGTTGTTCACTACGGTTATAACGAACTCAAGGGAAACATTGATTTTAGTTCGTTATAACAGTATTTTTACCCCACGCACTTCCATTAGAATATACAAGTGTCCGTGAGAGAAAAAAGGAAACGTCGTTTTATCAGCCAGTTCGGTATAGGCGTGTTCGATATAAACGTAGTTAATGGTTCAATCATTTACTCTTCCTGGGACTACGGGGTTGACGAGTATCAATTTTCAGAGCATTTTCAGATTTCATCCGTATACGTATGGCAAACTGTTTTCACATTTCTACTGAAATTACCGATATCTTTAATTGTTTTAAAGATATCGGTGTTAAATTTATCAATAAAGATATCAATAATGTTTTCAGGATATCGGTAAATAACTAAAAATAGCCTGATTTAAGTTCTGATATCCAAAGTAGAATTACTTATATGTTAAAATGTGTTTAAGATATGAATATAACAATTGACATCATTGTGTACACAGAGGATACTAAACGACCTTCAGTGTAATACAAATCTTATTAAACGAGTTACTGATTTGGTATCAACCGAGCGAAAGCGCTGAAGATATCACTCACCCCTTGAAGATATAACAGTTACTGTCTATACATCTACAATGTTATTACCTTTGTGTAATAACATCGCGTGATGCCGACGTATGACGTCATAATAGTTTACAGTTATGACGTGACAATGCTAATACCTGTCACAATGGTATTAGACCCTGCTTGACTTACGGAAAGCTGACAGTCATCACATTGTAGACAGTTCTATCAATTTATGTTGGAGAGTGATAAACAGAATACTAAACTCGCTTCCGTGAAATACCATTTTTATTAAACTTATGAAAGATTTAGCATCAAAACTCGCTTTCGCTCGTTTGGTACCAAATCATTAACTCGTTTCAGTAAAACTCGCTTTCGCTCGTTTGGTACCAAATCATTAACTCGTTTCGGTAAAATGGTATTTCACGGAAGCGAGTTTAGTATCCTCTATATATTAGAAATTAATCTAGTATGTCTTAAACTAATCTATACACATCCACAAGTGCATTACTGCTATCATTAATTCGTTTACGATATCTTTAATTCATGGAGAGATGTTTTAATTCTGACCCTTGTTGCCGTAGTGACGAGTGTCTATTTTAGCCAAGTGAGGAATTAGAAAATCTATTGGCCATGGTTTATACAGACAATATTTGTGCCAAAAGTATTTTCTTGTTCATTTGTCATTACAACACACACAAACAAATCAACAACAAAAATCAACCTTTGCCACAGTTGTTAAATTTGAGTTTGATTTGCCAACAAATTTTCTGAAGGTTAAATAGTTGTCCAAGAAATAATATCCCCATCGACCAACATCATGGCACCCACTGGGGTCTCTCCAGTTCGTAATGGTTTCTGTGTCAAGCAGCCCTGTGTCAACAACATACATCAGTTGTGTACGTATTTTACATGCAGACTCAAAACTGTCCTTTTTAGTCAACTTTGTCTAAATAAACAAATGGTGAAACACATAGTTGCCAGAAGTTAATATTGGTTGTTTTTGGTATAGTGTAAGAGAATATGTATATTATTCATTTTAACATGAAATTTGTCTGTTACGAAAAGGTACAGGTGTTTCAATATTTCTACCGGCCAAAATGAAGGCTGTGGACAAATCACGGAAGTTAATTCAGCTTATTCCGTTCATGATCTTTAGGCGAATCCCACTGGCTGATGTAGAAACAATGTTTAGAGTGCATGACAGGAGTGAGTGAGTATAGTTTTACACCTCTTTTGGCAATATTCCAGCAATATTACGGCGGGGGACACCAGAAATGGGTGGGGAATCGAACCCGGGTAATCCGCGTGACGAGCGAACGCTTTAACCACCTATCCCACCGCCCCCAGTCAAGGTTAACTTGGGTCAGCTGAGTCGTTCATTGACCGCAAGCTATGGCGTTTGTGCGATGCTGTCTGAAGTAAATCACTGGTTTTCCCTGCCATGAGCCAAGACGTTGTTTAGTGGGTGGTTAAATCTAGCGACGTCTCTACAGAGTGTGTGTATTCACAAATGATGGAGGAAACACTGTTTACACACAGCGGTGAAGTCATGACGCCGGATGTACGGCCAGGTCGAACGTTAAATGTAAATAAAATTTTTAAAAAATACGTCAGAAATGTCAACGGTTTATCACTTTCAGGTGAGTATAACAGTTCCAGTATGAAATGTTAGGCTGAATATGATTATACATAAAGGAATGGTTATCATTTTTGGGGTCCGTTTCACAAAGCAATCGTACCGCTAAGGTGATCGTAACTCTCATACCTTATTATAGCCTTACGACAGTCGTAGCGCTACGATCGCTTTGTGGAACGGTCCCCTAATCTGTTTTTATAAATCTTGAAAAACAACGAAAAGAGACATTTGATACAAAATTGGGAATATGTTTTTGACTAAAATGAGGGAGTTGGTTGAAGCTCTGAAGTGTTCCAGTTATATCAGTAGCTTATTGCGGGAGGAGAGCCGGAAGTGACGATCATAGTTCAAGAGCGTAGGAACGGTTTTCAGAGAGAGAGAGAGAGAGACAGAGAGGGGGGGCGCTAATTTATGAAAAGTATTGGAAATCAAATTGAAATTGTAGTTATGGGTATGGTTTCATCTTGTAAAAGGGGGGGGGGGCTTACTTAGCATCCCCCCCGTTCCTACGCCCCTGATGGTTTTATTGCGTACCCAAGGTAGGCAATTCTATAGTCTGTTTGCAGTGAAAACGTACTAATGAATTTCACTTTAAACAGAACAGTAAATCAAATAAAGTGAAATTAAGATTGCGAAAATTCAAATCGCTATTACTGGTTTGCATTACAAGGGGGTAAGCGTAGTAGTTGAAACAGTGAAACAAATGCACGTGCGGTACGTGAAGAGCGTTAACTTATAACAACCCTTGTCGTTTTCGGTGTTTCATTTGATGTGCATACCCCCTTGTAATACAAACCAATAATTGCCATGCGAGACTATGATCGTTTGTTAAACAACTTTTATCCTAAATCAAATAAAATTCTGAGATTTAAATGTTCAATTGGCAAGGTAAAATCATGAGGATTCGTAGTCTTAATTTCACTTTATTTGCTTTACCTTTTGGTTTGAACTGACATTCATTGGTACGTTTTAACTGCAAACAGACTATAACAAGCGATATGCACAACTTAGACAGATGGGCCACCCGCGCCCGCTTCAAAGGTGAAGATCCGGGTAAGAATTGATCTTCAGTAATCCATGCGTGTCCTAAAAGGCGACTAACGGGATCGGGTGGTCAGGCTCACTGGCTTGGCTGACATATGTCATCGTATCCCAAATTGTGTAGATCGATGCTCATGTTGTTGATCACTGGATTGTCTGGTCCAGAGTTGATTATTCACAGCCCGCCGCCATATAGCTGCAATACTTCTGAGTGCGGCGTTAAACAACAACCAACCAGACAAACGCTTCAATGATTCACGGTAAGCTGTTTGATTCTGTCTGGGCAGTCGTCTCGTTCCGTTCACCGTACACTGTACTCATGGCACAACTTTGATGAACAATAAATCTTCGTCGCCACTATACGTCCGGGAATCATCCCTTTGTTCAGTCACGTGTCAATAATGCAACAACACGTGATGACGTTGTTCTCATTGGGAATACTCTTTGTTCCGTAACACAATCTCCGCCGATTGTCGCACAGTCGCTCGTGGGCGTCGGGAACGCATGGCGACGTTCTCGGACAGTTTACTTGCAAACGCTGATAAGTGAACTTTCTGTAGGGAAGATGTTACTTGCATGATTTGTCACATTTCACAAGTGTCTGACTCACGGCGGTGATTGATGAGAGCTAAGACTTAATCTTGTCTCTGGCCGTCTGGAATTTGTCCATAAACATGGACACGCTGGAAAACAGGACGTCGGAAGTCCGGTTGGAGGCTTCACCATAATATGCCTGAAAATATTCCATAATAGTTAGTGTGCGTGTGTGTGCGTACGTGCGTCTGAGTTGGAATTAACGTTTTGAGTGAGTAAGTGAGTGAGTTTAGTTTAGTTTTACGCCGCTTTTAGCAATATTCCAGCAATATCACGGCGGGGGATACCAGAAATGGGCTTCACACATTGTACCCATGTTGGGAATCGAACCCGGGATTTCAGCGTGACGAACGAACGCCTTAACCGCTAGGCTGCCCCACCGGTTTAACGTTTTGAATAGTATGTCACACCATATCAGCTTAATGTGTGTGGAAATATCTGAATGATGAAGATCTTAGACATTTACCAAATTAAATGAAATCCTGAAGAGAATATGGTTCTCACAAATCTGGAATCACCAATAGGAATCAGGATTAACACTGTTTTGAACATCATTTATTTTATAACAGTCCAATTGATGTGGGCAGAAAACCCATAGTGGGGAAAATTATAGGATTCTGGAACTACAAAGGGAGGCAACCGCAGCAAATTACGGTGACTTAGCTTACACGTTTGCTACGTGATACACTTACGGTAACTGACTTTTACATTAATAACTCGCTCGGTATCCGTGTATTGATTTTAGGGATGGGGTTTGCTATGATAATTACTTTGTTCCAAGAAAATATGAGACTTAAGTATTTCGTCCCAAACTTCAGATAAGAACATTTAACATAACATTGTTCTTAACACAGCTCCTACCAAAACACAGCATTCCCACGATGCTGGCACCAGAGGCCAGGTTGAATAATGTGCCTATTCTCATCTACATCGGAAACTATCAAATGACACCAGAAAATATACATATTGAAACAAAAGACATTTTGTCATACCAAGATAGAGCGAAATTTCTTCCCGAGGTTTGCACAAATGGAGTCCATCTTTTGAAGCTTTCTCTCGTACTCCGTGATGAAATTCTGAAAGGGATGAAATAAGAGTACATGGTACCGTCGCACATCAACAGGGCAGAGTCTGACATGATTCAAGAATTTCATTTCTGAGGTTACAGACAGGAAACGATTTTTTACATTCCAAAAACGTTTAAGTTCTTATAACCCTCTTGGGCGATAAGAAGAATATTTTATGTCGGTCAGGCTCGCTGACTGGGTTGACACATGTCATCGTATCTCAACTGCGTAGATCAACGCTCATGCTGTTGATCCCTGGCTTGTCTGGTCCAGACTCGATTATTTACAGACCGCCGCCATATAGCTGTGATATTGCTGAGTGCGGCGTAAAACTAAACTCACTAACTCACTCACTCATTTTATGTCTTAAAATGATCATTCTCAAAATTTCAGTGAAGTAGTCTCAACAATCGGATGTTTCGAACATCGAGATAAGCCGTAGTTCACGTAAGTAATGGGTCATATTTGATTTTCTACTTTGACTGTATTTTGGTCACCTGAACATCCGACATATATTTCTTCTCGTGCTTGTTTGGGAGGGAAGTGTGTTTCGTAACGCCTTCAGGATCCGCTTGATCTTGTGGATGCCGTTCTTCAGTACTGTGTAATAGAAAAATAACAGAATAGCATATTACCAATTCTACTTTTGGGCTAGTGAGTTGGATTTTCGTCACATTAAACATTATTTTTATCATATACTGTTGACAGGAAGTTCAAGTACACACGATTCCTTCACATTCATATAAGTTAATTGGTAACGTAAAAGATTAACTACAGTTTCCTGTTATATAGTGCATTGTATATCAACTTTTGATTAGATACTGAGGGAAACAAATATGAATACATGAAAGCACAGGCGTTCCTTTACTCTTTTTCAGGTTTCTTCGCAAGCTTTGTATCGCACTCTGGGTGAGAATCTGAGAATAAATAGATGCAGTGGTGTTCCCTTATTTATTCCCCTCAGTATATTTACACGTCAGGTTAGCTAGGTGGAAAGGTCAGAGTGATGCATTTTGGCGAAACTCATTAGCATGGGGCTAATTATCTAATTTACCTACGATTGCTAAACCATGGATCAGAATGAGGTTGAATTTCAAGGATATTCGAACCCACGACCAGACACTGGTAGGTTAAAGCATGAAGCGAAATCTGCCGGCTTTAACCACTAGACCACTTGTATCCTCACATTGTTTACTGAGTCAAGCTATGACAAATGAGTATGTGAGTTCGGTTTAATGCGGTATTGAGGAGTATTGTAGTTGAATGGCGGTTTGTCAACTTTATGTCCGGTTTTGTTTGTTTGTTGTTTAACGCCGCACTAAGCAATACTCCAACTATCTGTAAATAATCGAGTCTGGACCAGACAATCCAGTGATCAACATCACGAGCATCAATTGACGCAATTGGGATACGATGACATGTGTCATCAAAGTCAGCGAGCCTGATCACCCGATCCCGTTATAGTCGACAAGCATGGGTTGCTGAAGACCAATTCTAACCCGGATCTTCACGGGTCCTTAATGTCGGGAAAAGGCCGAAGAGATGGAGGTTTAATTTTATGAATGAAAGCATTTGTTAGAAAACAGGACAAATATTAATGGAGTATTCGAGATGCTGGAAACATCTCCTCGTGGCAATCACCTATTACATGATTATATTACTAGACGCTGAATGTGATACGTGTAGACTTTAGACTTAATATATGTATTACATCCACTTCTACCTTCCCCATTGCTGGTGACCACTGCCGTGATACCGCTTGAATGTTGCTAAAAATGGCACGAATTCCAGCTCACTCACTCACTCACCCGCTCAGTCACTCAATCACACCCTCACACCTCCAATCAAATTCAAATCCTATTTAATTCAACGCACCTTGCTCCAATATCAACATTTAGATTCGTGTAAATCGTGGTTTTATCGCGTGGATGAATGTTGTTTAACGCCGTCATAAGGAATATTCCAGCTATGCCCTCCTGTAAACACTCACCCGTGAAGATCCGGGTTAGAACTGATCTTAAGTTACCCATGCCTGTCAGAGCGACTAACGGGATCGGGTGGTCAGGCTCGCTGACTTGGTTGACACATGTCATCGTACCCCAATTGCTTAGCTCGATGCTCATGCTTTCGATTGTCTGGTCCAGACATGATTTTGTTACAGCCCGCCGCCATATAGTTGGATTATTCACATGGGACCCCAACATGGTATGTTTTTAAAAGTCACGATTTGGAAATGGGAATTCATTCTCACCTTCAACTTCTGCGCTTACGGCCTTAATTGACAGATCTGCGCACTTGTGCACGTGTTTCATATCGGAAGTCCAGTCTAAGAGTGGCGGGTTGGTCAGTCTGATCTGCTCCACTAGGAAGTTGAGTAAGGTGTAATGAGGGTTGCGTCCCTTGATGTCCAGCACCTGCAGCCATAGATAACATGATATATGAAGGGCAACCCTACATGGTTCTCACATGGGAATGGGTCTCTGATCCCTGATTGGCCCTTTTCATGTTTCTAGGTTGGCAGCACTGTGGTAAAAGCGTTCGCTCGTCACGCCGAAGACCCGGGTTCGATTCCCCACATGGGTACAATGTGATAAGACTATTCCTGTTGTTACCGGTCATGATATTGCTTGAAAATTGCTTAAAGCTTCGAAAAAAACACACTCACTCACTCAAGCTGTCACGCCGTGATAAAACTGATATACATTGTACACTCACTCCCTCTTTCGTCCCTCACCTCAAGAGACCAGAAACACAAGTCAGCTCCCTCCGAATCAGTTGTACATAGTGTCACTTTAATGACATTGAAATAATTGTACTTCCATCTTGCATAATATACGTCAGATATACAATTCCATAAGGCTAAAAAGGGGCGGTTGGGTAGCCTAGTGGTTAAGGCGCTGGCTCGTAACGCCGAAGGCCCGGGTTCGATTCCCCACATGGGTACAAAATGTGAAGCCCATTTCTGGTGTCCCCTGCCATGATATCGCTGGAATATTGCTAAAAGCGGCGTAAAACCTTACTCATTCACTCACGCATAAAGGTAAAAAGGTCACGTACAATAAAATTCCGGTATATGTGAATCTGCATTTTAGCGGTTTTCAATACTCATTGGCCAGTTAAAGTATATGTGCTCATATTGTGTCCACGGTACGAACAATACAACACAATTTCATCATTGGTTAATGACGTCAAAAATTGACAACTGAACAATAAGTGACTCCAAGTAACATTGTCTTTTGAACTGACAATGGGTGATATATAGAATAACACACTCAAAACTCGACATTATGGATTACCTGTCCCTCATAAATGAATTCCTGACCAAAGGTAAGCTTTAAAAACATTTCTGATTACTGAGGTGGAAAAGGCGCAGGCGTGGCGTATGGGTCTCACCTTCTCGATTGAGGTTATCTGGAAGCCGTGTGCACCAATTCCTGATGACCATTTGGCGTTCATGTAGTTGCCGATAGCCAGGACGTACTCAAGGACGGCGGTCAGAGCGGTGTTGGTGGTCAGTTCCTCACACGCCAACCCCAGCAGGCTCACCTCCTGGATGGTCAAACATTCACCTTGCTTAAATACTGACCATTTGACGTCCTCAAACAGTTGCAACATAATCCAGCAGTATGAAGAATCATTGTCTTATTCGCATTTTATATTCACCTGTGAGACGATAACCCAAATGTAACCCTTAATGAATCTACAAACCCTAATATCGTCAGTGGATTAATATGATCAGTTGATTTGGGGATTTACGTCTCCTGATTTGGAGGATGTATGGTACACTAACGTCACCCTCGGTGAGCGATGTGTTGATACAAGACATACCTCGGACAGCTCCTCGAACTGACTCGGGAAGTCCAGGATGGTGATGACCAGGTCCAGCCGGATGTCCAGGGCTGGGACGTCACACAGGTCAATCATGAACCGGTCCACGGGGTGCTGGTCCTGGCGGGTGCTACGGTACATCCTGTACATCTCGATGTCGTCTGCTGTCGGTTGGTACCTGCCACAGGCCACAGTATACATGGAGGTACATCCCGGATGTTCATACAACAATAGAGAATAGACACAGCGTGAACCATATGTCCAGGAATCCGTTCCACGAAGCAATTTTAGCTCTACGACTATTGTAAGCCTCTGTTAAAATATTGGAGTTGTGATCCTTCTATCGTTTATCCGGGTTAGAATTGATCTTCAGCAACCCATGTTTGTCGTAAGAGTCGACGAACGGGATCAGGTAGTCAGTCCCGCTGATTTGGTTGACACATGTCATCGTATCCCATTAGCGTAGATCGATGCTCTTGATGTTGATCACTAGATTGTCTGGTCCAGACTCGATTATTTATTTATATATAGCTGGAATATTGCTGAGTGCGGTGTTAAACAACAAACAAACAGAGCCAAACCCGGCATTGAGCTGACACACCGACGGCATTAAACCCCTAATAAACCGGACTCACTCACTCATTTGTCATGTCACTGGATTGTCTGGTCTAGCCTAGATTATTTACACCAGGAATATTGCTGACAAACCTTTGTGAAACTCCCCAATGATAACCTGAACAGTATGGGATATAGACTGAGAGGTGAGATCGTAGAACTTTCAGTGGAAACAAAACGTGGAGGTAATGGATAGACCATCACCGTTAGCAGACAATCATAGTAGATGTTGATGCCAATCATCGACACCACCCCCCAGCGTGTTCTTCACGGCCCGCGCCATAGTTTAGGTACACCTGATATCCATGGAGGGAGGACATGTCGTCTCACCTTCTCAGTGTGCTGAGTTTCTCTGTTGGAAATGCTTCCATTTCCGAGATGGAGTTGAGTGCCTCTATCAGTTTCTCCACGACGTCGGGCTTCGGGCCGCTGAACATGATGCTGAGATTCTGTGCTCGCTTGGGATCCAGTAGAATCTGTTTCCTGGACCTCAGGAGCGTGGCTGCGAGACAAGTGATGATAACTACCGTTTCATGTATACGAATTAGAACGTCGACGTCGTTTCATCACGGATTATGAGTTAATGAGTAATTGAGTTGGGTTTAACACGTTGACTGCCCATCACGAGTATACTGGTAGTATCAATTCTGGCCGAATGTGCCACTACGAGATAACTTGTAGTTGGCATGTTGGCAAAATAGGCATGAGAAACAAACGTCAACTGGCGTTCTTTGTTACCGCCAGGACACGATTGCCTCTTGTGCCTGTTTTACCAACATGTGACTGACTGACTGAGTTTAGTTTTACGCCGCTTTTAGCAATATTCCAGCAATATCACGGCGGGGGACACCAGAAATGGGCTTAACATACCAACATGTGAAATCTGTTTCAAAATATCATTGATGTAGCTACGAGATAACTCGTAGTGGCAAATTCGGCCAGACATTGATACTACGAGTATACTCGGGTGGCAGACAACGTGTTAACGCCACTAGTATTTCAGTCTTAGATATTTACCATATTTGTGGAACCAGCGAGCACGGGTATAATGCTGTTAACGAAACAAATCATAATCAGGGCAAGTCGCCAATGGGTTTCACGTCAAACTGAACAATGCCAATATTTTGGTCATTTCAGCTTGGTTCAAGTGCAGACAAACCTAGAAATATCAGGTCGGTAATAACGGTAATAACTAAACACACGTTGTGTAGTACACAGCATCACTCACCCTGGGACTGAATGTTGGCATAGTCTTTCTCTTGAAGCGCAAACATGTCTTCCAACATCGCAAGGTCCAGACGGGAAGTGACGTCATGGGCGCCCTTCCATAAAGAGTGCGACACCTGGAGCAGGAGCATAGGTATACAAACACACCATTCTGAAGATCACGACATTTATCAGCAAAAGAAACACAGTATTACGACAGGCACTGTTTTCTGTGAAGTCAACAATATCAAGATACTTCCAGTTATACATGTATATCGACGTTATGGCAACAGTCTGTAGCACGGTGTTTCTAGGTGGACCGACTAAAGAGGTCCATTGCATTGACACATTGGAAAGTGCAAACAGTGAACAGTCGTCCCATGCTATTTTAACCACAAGAGAACATTTATGCTTTGTTACGCTGAGATATATTTGTCTAAAACAACTATCATTCTCATGCGCACTGAAGCTGATCCAGCTGGATATTGAGAAGTGTATTGCACCAGGCACTTATCCATCACGTCTGTCTGATTATATTCATGCAGTCGCAGAATAGGGCCATAAGATTTTCCATGAATTATGGTTTGGTAACTGACAATTGCATTAAACTATAAGAACAGTGTATTCAATTAGCTCCAGATAATAGTGCCTGGAATAAGGAATCAACCCGCGTTCATCCATAAACAAAATGTCGGAAGGTGTCTTGTAAAATGAATAGTTGCTGCAGTATTGTCTATAGTTACTGAAAACTTACTATTTCAACTTCTGAAAATAACGTCTGTAATAAACTCACCTCTGTTTGAGGAACTTTAGACCAATGGATTTGTTTCAGTTTCATTTTGGGAACGATCTTCAGTTTGATCCCATGCTTATTGCTCTTCAGGGAGGGGAGCCGGGATGTGAGCGGGGATGGGGGGTGGTGGGGTGGTGGGAGATGGAAGGGGGCGGTCCTTGTACTTATCATCACTTCCAGCAGGGGCCCGTTTTGTCGGTGATGGTGCAGGTGATGTTGGAGTTGGGGGAAGATCTGTGTTGTTGTATACCCCAGCCGTGTCACTGAGAGCTGTGGTATTGGCGTTAGGAGAGGTAGGGTGAGTGTTATTGGTGTTAGGAGAGGTAGGTTGATTGTTACTGGATGTTAGTGTTCTTGGAGTTGGAATCGGTGCAGGTATTGTTGGCGGAGGTGGTAGCTGAGGTGCATTTGGTGATGACGGTGGTGGTCCTGGTAGTGACTTGGATGTTTTCGCTTCTGGTGGAGACGGTTTGTCGTCAGGGGGATAATCCGGTTCCGGTTCTGTAAAATCTATTTTCACCTCCATCGTTGACTGTTCTCGTTTTGACCTATTTACATTCCCAGTGTTGTGTGACCCGGATGCGACGTCTGCTTTATCGGAACTATTTTCTGACGATTTTTTGTCCATAATGTTCCATTTGGCACGGACGGAAGCCACGTCATCGGTGCCACTGGAGCCATTATCAACAGACACCTCGGTCTCTGAGCTACTGCCGCCTGAAACCTTGGACAGATCGGCTCGGGCAGTAGCGTCCTGCCTGACGAATGCAGGAGGCTTGGGACGACTGGATGTAGGAAGATGGTCCAAGGGCGTGGTCTTCTCCACGTAGCTCAGATGAACGCTGAAGTGTTTCGTCACTTCCGGTTTCCTGATTGCCAATAACATTTGTAATTCAATTATATGAGTGATAAATTCAATGTGAATTAAAGGACAATTACGACACTGATCGTCTTCCTACCTCAATGTCACTTGTTCCAGTGGTTCGTTGTTATTCTCCTCAGTTGATTGCTAAATGTAAGAACATATATTTATACATCTAGGAGAAAGGACTCAGTATCTAGTTTGCTGGAAACAACGCTGAACACAGAGCTTTTAAACTCTCATTCCCCCACACCCACAGCTAAATATTCAGGACAAGATATATAATGTTCGGGAGACAGGCTATTTGTTGTGTTCAATAAATAGCCTAAAAGCAAGGGAGCTTCATAATGTAATCTCGACACTTACAGTCCTGTCATTTCATCATACCAGCGGAAGAAGAACTACCTCCAAAAGCATTCCCCTCTATTGTTCGGCATCACTAAGTATTTTATTAAAAATAAATAATGTAAACTTCACTGCCGTGCAAAGTACATATACGCTTGAAAAACTGGATTTGACCTCCAGGAAGAAATACAGTGAAACAAGCACTGCCAACTTTAGTTCCGGAACTCAATTGTGTAAATGTTGAAGTACGTCACCATCGAATTAACATATCTTCTTTGTTTCATGTCTAGTCACCATTAGGTGGTTACTTACTTTTGTCCGGCAGTGTAGTTTACCATTTTCGGCTTCTCTATATTAAAGTTGCTTTGCCGTAAGGTGGTTGGTCTTATTGATAATAACCACATCGCTGTCAAAACACATTAAAATATAGGTTGGTAGGAAGAATTGACAATGAAAGGAATCAGTCACCCGAGGACAAGTAAGTTCTCTTTCCAAATAATCTACTATGACGCTGCTTAGGTGAAAAGATTTAACAGATTCAGTATTTGTGGAATGTTGGTTTAGTGGAGCTGTGAACGAAGCTATACAACAAATTGTCTAAAGGATAAAGATAAAAATCAGTAATGTTTATAAGATAAAAATCAGTAAACCCTAACAGTAATTTTCACTTTGTAGTTTTATTAAATGATTGTACAAGAATTTACTTTGCGTCTTTTTATCAGTTCATCTATAGAGACTGGTTCCTCTTCAGCAGGCTGGCTGGGAAACTCGAAGGCCGTGAGGTTGCTCCGGGGGGTGTCCAGGGATGACGTCTTCTCCAGCATCACCAGGGTGTGGCGCTTGGACTTCATAGCCTTCTGGAACGCCTGTTGTCCAGTCAGAAAGTAAGTAAGTGAGTGAGTGAGTGAGTCAAGTTTTACGCTGCACGTAACAGTATTCATATCACATCAGAGACAAAACTGGGCTTCACTTCTTTTGATTTGTATACACTTTTGATCTGACAAACAGCAGGATATCTCGCTCTACCAGGATCTGACAAACATCAGGATATCTCGCTCTACCAGGATCTGACAAACATCAGGATATCTCGCTCTACCAGGATCTGACAAACATCAGGATATCTCGCTCTACCAGGATCTGACAAACATCATACAGGAATTGAGCAAGCATCAGGATATCTCGCTCTTGACAAACAGGATCTGACAAACATCAGGATATCTCGCTCTACCAGGATCTGACAAACATCATCTCGCTCTACCAGGATCTGACTCTACCAGGATGACAAACATCAAACATCAGGATATCTCGCTCTACCAGGATCTGACAAACATCAGGATATCTCGCTCTACCAGGATCTGACAAACATCAGGATATCTCGCTCTACCAGGATCTGACAAACATCAGGATATCTCGCTCTACCAGGATCTGACAAACATCAGGATATCTCGCTCTACCAGGATCTGACAAACATCAGGATATCTCGCTCTACCTGACAAACATCAGGATAGGATCTGACAAACATCAGGATATCTCGCTCTACCAGGATCTGACAAACATCAGGATATCTCGCTCTACCAGGATCTGACAAACATCAGGATATCTCGCTCTACCAGGATCTGACAAACATCTGACAAGGACAAACATCAGGATATCTCGCTCTACCAGGATCTGACAAACATCAGGATATCTCGCTCTACCAGGATCTGACAAACATCAGGATATCTCTCTACCAGGATCTGACAAACTCTACCAGGGATCTCGCTCTACCAGGACAAACATCAGGATATCTCGCTCTACCAGGATCTGACAAACATCAGGATATCTCGCTCTACCAGGATCTGACAAACATCAGGATATCTCGCTCTACCAGGATCTGACAAACATCAGGATATCTCGCTCTATCAGGATCTGACAAACATCAGGATATCTCGCTCTACCAGGATCTGACAAACATCAGGATATCTCGCTCTACCAGGATCTGACAAACATCAGGATATCTCGCTCTACCAGGATCTGACAAACATCAGGATATCTCGCTCTACCAGGATCTGACAAACATCAGGATATCTCGCTCTACCAGGATCTGACAAACATCAGGATATATCTCGCTCTACCAGGATCTGACAAACATCAGGATATCTCGCTCTACCAGGATCTGACAAACATCAGGATATCTCGCTCTACCAGGATCTGACAAACATCAGGATATCTCGCTCTACCAGGATTGACAAACATCAGGATATCTCGCTCTACCAGGATCTGACAAACATCAGGATATCTCGCTCTACCAGGGCTCTACCGGGATCTGACAAACATCAGGATATCTCGCTCTACCAGGATCTGACAAACATCAGGATATCTCGCTCTACCAGGAACTGACAAACATCAGGGATCTCGCTCTACCAGGATCTGACAAACATCAGGATATCTCGCTCTACCAGGATCTGACAAACATCAGGATATCTCGCTCTACCAGGATCTGACAAACATCAGGATATCTCGCTCTAACATGATTGACAAACATCAGGATATCTCGCTCTACCAGGAATTGACAAACATCAGGATATCTCGCTCTACCAGGATTGACAAACATCAGGATATCTCGCTCTACCAGGATCTGACAAACATCAGGATATCTCGCTCTACCAGGATCTGACAAACATCAGGATATCTCGCTCTACCAGGATCTGACAAACATCAGGATATCTCGCTCTACCAGGATCTGACAAACATCAGGATATCTCGCTCTACCAGGATCTGACAAACATCAGGATATCTCGCTCTACCAGGATCTGACAAACATCAGGATATCTCGCTCTACCAGGATCTGACAAACATCAGGATATCTCGCTCTACCAGGATCTGACAAACATCAGGATATCTCGCTCTACCAGGATCTCGCTCTCTGACAAACATCAGGATATCTCGCTCTACCAGGATCTGACAAACATCAGGATATCTCGCTCTACCAGGATCTGACAAACATCAGGATATCTCGCTCTACCAGGATCTGACAAACATCAGGATATCTCGCTCTAACAGGATTGACAAACATCAGGATATCTCGCTCTACCAGGATCTCATGACAAACATCAGGATATCTCGCTCTACCAGGATCTGACAAACATCAGGATATCTCGCTCTACCAGGATCTGACAAACATCAGGATATCTCGCTCTACCAGGATCTGACAAACATCAGGATATCTCGCTCTATCAGGATCTGACAAACATCAGGATATCTCGCTCTCTACCAGGGATCTGATCAATATCTCGCTCATCATTGGATATCTCGCTCTACCAGGGATCTGACAAACATCAGGATATCTCGCTCTACCAGGATCTGACAAACATCAGGATATCTCGCTCTATCAGGATCTGACAGGAATCTCGCTCTACCTGACAAACATCAGGATATCTCGCTCTCTACATCAGGATCTAACATCAGGATATCTCGCTCTATCTACCAGGATCTGACAAACATCAGGATATCTCGCTCTACCAGGATCTGACAAACATCAGGATATCTCGCTCTATCAGGATAGGTCTATCAATTGACAAACATCAGGATATCTCGCTCTACCAGGGCTCGCTCTATCAGGATGACAAACATCAGGATATCTCGCTCTACCAGGATCTGACAAACATCAGGATATCTCGCTCTATCAGGAATTGACAAACATCAGGATATCTCGCTCTACCAGGATCTGACAAACATCATGATATCTCGCTCTACCAGGATCTGACAAACATCAGGATATCTCGCTCTATCAGGAATTGACAAACATCAGGATATCTCGCTCTATCAGGATCTGACAAACATCAGGATATCTCGCTCTGCCAGGATCTGACAAACATCAGGATATCTCGCTCTATCAGGTATTGACGAACACCATGGTACCACTTTCTATCTTGACCTAACAATTCTATAATGCATGCTTCCCGGGATCTGAGAATCACCATGCTGCCTCTCTGAGACAACATCGGACAAACCCTGGGGAACCTCTCTCCATTCCGTCCTCACACAAACGGGCAAAGTGAAGAAGATATTTTAATAATCAACGTATACTTAATTCCCAGTTAGCTTGCCGATTACAACCAGTTGTTATTCAGTATGGTAAACCAATTAAGATTGTCGCGTATATTTATTTATAGACACAAACTATACCTATCAGATATAAACGAGGGATACTCTGGCCAGAGTATATGTTGTCAATCTTGCATTTTGATTGGTTTGGTGTGTTTTCACACATAATAGGAATGTGAGTTTTTTTGTAGGTTACGAAAGTGAAGAGTGGTGATGAATGCGATCTCGGAATCATTACTTCTATCCACAAAATGTTTATACTATAATCAATGGAAATCGGACATACGTTTTGAAGACTATTTAGCAAAAAACGACGTAAAGAAGTTTCGTATAGCTGTCTCTCGTTTTCGCTGCTCTTCCCATGCATTATTTATTGAAACTGGCAGGCATACAGGTATACAATGAGGAAACAGAACATGTCAATTATGTAATATGAATACTGTTGAGGATGAACTACATCTCCTTCTAATCTGTCCTGTTTATACGACTCTACGAACGAACTACCTAAAGCCATACTATTATAAGCATCCAAGTGTAAGAGAATTAATTTCACTATTAACAGATACTACCACATCACTATTACAGAATCTGCCAATGTACATCTATTTCGCTATGAGTTTAAGAAAAGTATTGTTACAGAAAAGAATGTATAAATGACTTCTATCTACTCATGTAAACTCTAAATGTATTACAGGCCTGTGACCTTTTTAAGTACTGAAATGAAGATTGGTTGATTGATTGATTGAATGCGATCTCGACGGAACAATGTATCGAAGCGAGTAAACTATCATCCTCGATAATCTCCAGGGTATAATCTCCAGTGATCGTAACTTAAACCCTGAAGATTATCGAGGATGGTAAACAATCTGATTTTAATCAAATTTAGCAGAGACCGTATATTGATATCTCTGGAGTGAATGAGTGAAATATCCCAGCTTGAATTATTCTACACCATATGGAAATGGTTATGTCTACCAAGTACTCCTTGTTATATTACACATCGTAAGTAGACCCCCCTGTCACCATGTACTTAAGTCGGTACATCAGCCTGGGGACATTTAAACCCTCAGTAATGAGGTGTACACAAAGTCGACATCTCACCTCAATCCATTCTTCCCTCTCCACTTCCGGGTTATTGGCCCTCTGGTCGTGGAGTAGTCGAAAACTGTTTAAGAAGATAATATATACAGACGAAATTATAACTGTGTCAGGGTCAAATCTACGTGTGTACTTTTATGTTTAACAAAAACAAGAACCGAGGGTATTCAAATCCAGTATTATCAAATTCATTCTCACGACATTTATTTCAGAATCTGAGTTAGAGAATAGATATATAATGCATTTTAGCAGCAAATGATGCATTCATTTAAGCAAGGAAGAAATACTTCTTTTAAATCTGCGAATCGATTTGTTTCCCATATGGGTTTACTGCTTTCAACATATACTCTTACAAAAGTAGGGGAACCTGAACTTTCAATTTGGATAGGAAGTATAAGCGTTAACAAACATTTCAAAGACAGACATCTTGTAAACGCACCACCATTACTCTTTATCACCATCCCTAAATACAACGCATGGGATGCACGTGCACAACGCAGTAGTCCCATACACGTGCATGGGGTGTCATTCTTGATTTTGACGGTTTTCAAGAAGGTCGATAAACCACTGCAGATAATTTATTTTGACAATCATCTTGCATCACACAGTTGCTAGTGTTTGTTTCTAGCCGTGTTTTTTTGTTTGAAAATGAAAATCGTACACATGCAAATTTTACGCCATACACAAGTCATCTTTCAAGAGCGATTACTGTACAAACAACTATGGTCATAAGGAAGTGCAAGTGGTGATGCACTCTCAAAACATTCATTATTATCACATCAACATTGATTGACTATATATCTCCCAATTTTGTTTCAATCGTAAATTAAAACTGAAGTGCCCCTACCTTTTTGGAAGAGTATAAAATGAGATTATGATCTTTAAAACCTCAATTCAAATGCTGAAATGATTTTAGTCTAATTCTCAATCGTATGAACACATCTGATAACGATTTCTAAAATGATGTCTTTAACAAAAAGATACAGCGGACTAAACATGTTTCTTTATGATTTGATATCATCATCGCCCTGTCGGTGATGTTGCCACACGAACTTGGATCCGATCCTTACATCGCCAGGGGTGAACCTACTTCAACGATGGACATCTGAAGCCTCAGCACTGCCAGTTGAAGTTTTCTCTCAATTTATGGACGTCATGCCACTTCCTGGCTTGTAAGGATACTGTCTAGGATTACTTCCTTGATAGCCCCGACTCTTGATTAAACAAACACTGGAACGGGCGTGACCGTCATGTATACACTAGAAAACGTGAGACGCTACTGAACGTGACCTTCACCTACACATATACTAGACAACGTGAGACGCGACTGAACGTGACCTTCACCTACACATATACTAGACAACGTGAGACGCTACTGAACGTGACCTTCACCTACACATATACTAGACAACGTGAGACGCTACTGAACGTGACCTTCACCTACACATATACTAGACAACGTGAGACGCTACTGAACGTGACCTTCACCTACACATATACTAGACAACGTGAGACGCGACTGAAAGTGACCTTCACCTACACTATACAACGTGAGACGCGACTGAACGTGACCTTCACCTACACATACACCAGACAACGTGAGACGCGACTGAACGTGACCTTCACCTACACATACGCTAGACAACGTGAGACGCGACTGAACGTGACCTTCAACTACACATACACTAGACAACGTGAGACGCGACTGAACGTGACCTTCACCTACACATAAACTAGACAACGTGAGACGCTACTGAACGTGACCTCCACCTACACATAAACTAGACAACGTGAGACGCTACTGAACGTGACCTTCACCTACACATACACTAGAAAACGTGAGACGCTACTGAACGTGACCTTCACCTACACATATATGTACTAGAAACGTGAGACGCGACTGAACGTGACCTTCACCCACACACATACACTAGAAACGTGAGACGCTACTGAACGTGACCTTCACCTACACATACGGTAGACAACGAGACGCGACTGAACGTGACCTTCACCTACACATACGGTAGACAACGTGAGACGCGACTGAACGTGACCTTCACCTACACATACTCTAGACAACGTGAGACGCGACTGAACGTGACCTTCACCTACACATATACTAGACAACGTGAGACGCCACTGAACGTGACCTTCACCTACTCATACACTAGACAACGTGAGACGCGACTGAACGTGACCTTCACCTACACATATACTAGACAACGTGAGACGCGACTGAAAGTGACCTTCACCTACACTATACAACGTGAGACGCTACTGAACGTGACCTTCATACACATACACCAGACAACGTGAGACGCGACTGAACGTGACCTTCACCTACACATACGCTAGACAACGTGAGACGCGACTGAACGTGACCTTCAACTACACATACACTATACAACGTGAGACGCGACTGAACGTGACCTTCACCTACACATACACTATACAACGTGAGACGAGACTGAACGTGACCTCCACCTACACATAAACCAGACAACGTGAGACGCTACTGAACGTGACCTTCACCTACACATACACTAGACAACGTGAGACGCTACTGAACGTGACCTTCACCACACATATACTAGACAACGTGAGACGCTACTGAACGTGACCTTCACCTACACATATACTAGACAACGTGAGACGCGACTGAAAGTGACCTTCACCTACACTATACAACGTGAGACGCGACTGAACGTGACCTTCACCTACACATACACCAGACAACGTGAGACGCGACTGAACGTGACCTTCACCTACACATACGCTAGACAACGTGAGACGCGACTGAACGTGACCTTCAACTACACATACACTATACAACGTGAGACGCGACTGAACGTGACCTTCACCTCCACACATAAACTAGACAACGTGAGACGCTACTGAACGTGACCTCCACCTACACATAAACTAGACAACGTGAGACGCTACTGAACGTGACCTTCACCTACACATACACTAGAAAACGTGAGACGCTACTGAACGTGACCTTCACCTACACATATATGTAGAAAACGTGAGACGCGACTGAACGTGACCTTCACCTACACATACACTAGAAACGTGAGACGCTACTGAACGTGACCTTCACCTACACATACGGTAGACAACGTGAGACGCGACTGAACGTGACCTTCACCTACACATACGGTAGACAACGTGAGACGCGACTGAACGTGACCTTCAACTACACATACTCTAGACAACGTGAGACGCTACTGAACGTGACCTTCACCTACACATATACTAGACAACGTGAGACGCCACTGAACGTGACCTTCACCTACTCATACACTAGACAACGTGAGACGCGACTGAACGTGACCTTCACCTACACATATACTAGACAACGTGAGACGCGACTGAAAGTGACCTTCACCTACACTATACAACGTGAGACGCTACTGAACGTGACCTTCATCTACACATACACCAGACAACGTGAGACGCGACTGAACGTGACCTTCACCTACACATACGCTAGACAACGTGAGACGCGACTGAACGTGACCTTCAACTACACATACACTCCATACAACGTGAGACGCGACTGAACGTGACCTTCACCTACACATACACTATACAACGTGAGACGAGACTGAACGTGACCTCCACCTACACACATAAACCAGACAACGTGAGACGCTACTGAACGTGACCTTCACCTACACATACACTAGAAAACGTGAGACGCTACTGAACGTGACCTTCACCTACACATACTCTAGACAACGTGAGACGCGACTGAACGTGACCTTCACCTACACATACACTAGACAACGAGACGCGACTGAACGTGACCGTCACCTACACATACACTAGAAAACGTGAGACGCGACTGAACGTGACCTTCACCTACACATACACTAGACAACGTCAGACGCAACTGAACGTGACCTTCACCAACACATACGCTAGACAACGTGAGACGCTACTGAACGTGACCTCCACCTACACATACACTAGACAACGTAAGACGCGACTGAACGTGACCTTCACCTACACATACACTAGACAACGTAAGACGCTACTGAACGTGACCTTCACACCCACACATATACTAGACAACGTAAGACGCTACTGAACGTGACCTTCACCTACACATACACTAGAAAACGTGAGACGCTACTGAACGTGACCTTCACCTACACATACACTAGAAAACGTGAGACGCTACTGAACGTGACCTTCACCTACACATATATGTAGAAAACGTGAGACGCGACTGAACGTGACCTTCACCTACACATACACTCAGAAACGTGAGACGCTACTGAACGTGACCTTCACCTACACATACGGTAGACAACGTGAGACGCGACTGAACGTGACCTTCACCTACCACATACGGTAGACAACGTGAGACGCGACTGAACGTGACCTTCAACTACACATACTCTAGACAACGTGAGACGCTACTGAACGTGACCTTCACCTACACATATACTAGACAACGTGAGACGCCACTGAACGTGACCTTCACCTACTCATACACTAGACAACGTGAGACGCGACTGAACGTGACCTTCACCTACACATATACTAGACAACGTGAGACGCGACTGAAAGTGACCTTCACCTACACTATACAACGTGAGACGCTACTGAACGTGACCTTCATCTACACATACACCAGACAACGTGAGACGCGACTGAACGTGACCTTCACCTACACATACGCTAGACAACGTGAGACGCGACTGAACGTGACCTTCAACTACACATACACTATACAACGTGAGACGCGACTGAACGTGACCTTCACCTACACATACACTATACAACGTGAGACGAGACTGAACGTGACCTCCACCTACACATAAACTAGACAACGTGAGACGCTACTGAACGTGACCTTCACCTACACATACACTAGAAAACGTGAGACGCTACTGAACGTGACCTTCACCTACACATACTCTAGACAACGTGAGACGCGACTGAACGTGACCTTCACCTACACATACACTAGACAACGTGAGACGCGACTGAACGTGACCGTCACCTACACATACACTAGAAAACGTGAGACGCGACTGAACGTGACCTTCACCTACACATACACTAGACAACGTCAGACGCAACTGAACGTGACCTTCACCAACACATACGCTAGACAACGTGAGACGCTACTGAACGTGACCTCCACCTACACATACACTAGACAACGTAAGACGCGACTGAACGTGACCTTCACCTACACATACACTAGACAACGTAAGACGCTACTGAACGTGACCTTCACCTACACATATACTAGACAACGTAAGACGCTACTGAACGTGACCTTCACCTACACATACACTAGAAAACGTGAGACGCTACTGAACGTGACCTTCACCTACACATACACTAGAAAACGTGAGACGCGACTGAACGTGACCTTCACCTACACATACACTAGAAACGTGAGACGCGACTGAACGTGACCTTCACCTACACATACGGTAGACAACGTGAGACGCGACTGAACGTGACCTTCAACTACACATACGGTAGACAACGTGAGACGCGACTGAACGTGACCTTCACCTACACATACTCTAGACAACGTGAGACGCGACTGAACGTGACCTTCACCTACACATACACTAGACAACATGAGACGCCACTGAACGTGACCTTCACCTACACATACACTAGACAACGTGAGACGCGACTGAACGTGACCTTCACCTACACATATACTAGACAACGTGAGACGCGACTGAAAGTGACCTTCACCTACACTATACAACGTGAGACGCGACTGAACGTGACCTTCATCTACACATACACCAGACAATGTAAGACGCGACTGAACGTGACCTTCAACTACACATACGCTAGACAACGTGAGACGCGACTGAACGTGACCTTCAACTACACATACACTATACAACGTGAGACGCGACTGAACGTGACCTTCACCTACACATACGCTAGACAACGTGAGACGCGACTGAACGTGACCTTCAACTACACATACACTATACAACGTGAGACGCGACTGAACGTGACCTTCACCTACACATACACTATACAACGTGAGACGAGACTGAACGTGACCTCCACCTACACATAAACTAGACAACGTGAGACGCTACTGAACGTGACCTTCACCTACACATACACTAGAAAACGTGAGACGCTACTGAACGTGACCTTCACCTACACATACTCTAGACAACGTGAGACGCGACTGAACGTGACCTTCACCTACACATACACTAGACAACGTGAGACGCGACTGAACGTGACCGTCACCTACACATACACTAGAAAACGTGAGACGCGACTGAACGTGACCTTCACCTACACATACACTAGACAACGTGAGACGCAACTGAACGTGACCTTCACCAACACATACGCTAGACAACGTGAGACGCTACTGAACGTGACCTCCACCTACACATACACTAGACAACGTAAGACGCGACTGAACGTGACCTTCACCTACACATACACTAGACAACGTAAGACGCTACTGAACGTGACCTTCACCTACACATATACTAGACAACGTAAGACGCTACTGAACGTGACCTTCACCTTCACATACACTAGACAACGTAAGACGCGACTGAACGTGACCTTCAACTACACATACTCTAGACAACGTAAGACGCTACTGAACGTGACCTTCACCTACACATACACTAGACAACGTAAGACGCGACTGAACGTGATCCCCTCACATGCTGATATCACACACCTGTATACCTCCCTCACATGCTGATATCACCCACCTGTAAACATCCCTCACATGCTGATGTCACCCACCTGTATACCTCCCTCACATGCTGATATCACCCACCTGTATACCTCCCTCACATGCTGATATCACCCACCTGTATACCTCCCTCACATGCTGATATCACCCACCTGTATACCTCCCTCACATGCTGATATCACCCACCTGTATACCTCCTTCACATGCTGATATCACCCACCTGTATACCTCCCTCACATGCTGATATCACCCACCTGTATACCTCCCTCACATGCTGATATCACCCACCTGTATACCTGTATACCTCCCTCACATGCTGATATCACCCACCTGTATACCTCCCTCACATGCTGATATCACCCACCTGTATACCCTGTTTCTCACGGTGACGTTGAACCCATGTTGCCCGGAACGTCTGACGCTGCAGATGTCCTCCCATACTTGCACGATGTTTAAAGCCAACTGAAAGTTCAAAAAGTTGTGATGCCAACAAATTAATAACTAAACACTATTTCCGAACTGCACCGTGTATTTAGATTGTAAAATGAACCGAACTGAAAAATACCTCACTTCAAAGCAAACAAAACTCATTGGGCAGTATTATGGGTGTTCTAATTAAAATTCGTTATGAAGACGTGAAATTGACGTCTCTTCAATCTGTAACAGACAAACCATTTATCGAAACAAACCAAAGCCTCTTTATTACAAAAGCATTTGTTGACGATGATGCTTTACGCCACAATCAGCAATATTCCAGGTATATTCTGGACCAGTGAGTTTATTTTTACGCCGCTTGTAGCAATATTCCAGCAATATCACGACGGGGGCTCTAGAAATAGGCTTCACACATTGTACCCACGTGGGGAATCGAACCCGGGCCTTCGGCTTGACGAGCGAATGCTTTAACCACTAGGCTACCCCATCGCCCCTTGAGATATGAAATCATTGTAAATCCCAATATGATATTTAATAGTTTTTTTTAAGTTTAACATATTTTATGTTGTTTCAACTTATTAAACCCCTCTCCAAAGATATTTACAATAACTAATTACATCACAAGCAATTATTAGAAACAGAGACAGAGAAAGACTGAAAGATAACAGGGGAAATGCTATAATACAAAAGGAGTATAGAGAGAAGACTTCTGGAATCGTTTAGATTTGCATATATATTGATGTACATTTTTTAATATAATTTCATTTTTATGATTTGTCAGATCTGCAATGCCGTTTAAAATAACAAATAATGTAATCACAGAATTACTACCACAAACATCTTGAATAGCTTTAAGCATGATCTTTCTATGTTGATTGTATAAAGAACATTCTAAGAAATAGTGATGAGCCTTTTCGGATGGGTTTATATTTAATAATAACATGATCAGTTACTTTTGCCTGCGAGCATTCTTTTGAAATGTATAAATCATTTGAAACCTCCCCTAAGCAATCACGTTAAACATGGCGCGGGTCCAATACCGATAAGAAGTTGTATTTGATAAGCCGTATAACACAATCAACTTGTTACTGGGGTACGCAGCAAGCTTAGGACACATGTACTGTTGTTTTCATGACATTACGATAGTTCAATCGGATATGGTATGTTATCTTTTTTAGTTTTTGGAATCCTTTGTCACGAGTCCTTGACATATTTTATTCAGACAGACGTCACAGTTAATCTCCCACCACGACGTTGACATACACGGCACGTGGTATCGAACCCTGTCGCTGATGAGTACCTGATGTAGCAAGGCATGAGCCTACAGCACTAAAGACAGCGTCAATATTATCATTACCTACTTCCTCTTTGCATCGAAGCCAGATTGAGAGAAGTACTTAGCTTCTCCTTGATGCTTAACCAGACATATTAGACAACAGCTGGCATTCCGTCCAGTCACCATTGACATTGTTTTATCTGTGTAGATGTCAGGGAAATGTGTCAAGTGCTATGTAAGTGGAACTACGTTGCGGCCTAATTTGATTTGTGTTCTTTATCACAGACACAGGCAACTACGGCCATAACGAACTCATTTTAGTTCGTTATAACCGTAGTTCGATATATGCATTCCGGCTAGAATATACAGCAAGAAGTCGGGACAAACAAACAGTTCGATATATGCAATCCGGCTAGAATATACAGCAAGAAGTCGGGACAAACAAACAGTTCGATATATGCAATCCGGCTAGAATATACAGCAAGAAGTCGGGACAAACAAACAGTTCGTTATATCAATCACTTCGTAATAAGCGTGTTCGTATGTATATCTGTTAAATATTGTAAATATTGTAAACATTGTAAATGTTGTCATGAAACGGCTTGGCAGCATTTCTATCTTAAATATTGAAATTTACAAGCTTTAAAACCAAGACTTAATATCTATTGCTGAATCTTGAGAAATTCTGTTTAAAAGAACTTTGAACAGAAGCGACAAAACCCTTTCCACATCCATGAGAAATCTCTGCTAAAAGCAGAGCATATTGTACAATTGTGACTATATCATGAGTATATAGTTGTTTCAGCAGTATTACAACTGTACGATGTTGATTGTAATCTGGACCAGACAATCCAGTGATTGTCACCATGCGATACGATGACAGAGCATGTGTTTATGAATCACTATGAACTAGTGATGATACCAGGTGTTCACGAAAAGGTGAGCGTATCCTGCCTCACAGGCGGTAACAACATGTATTATAGCCATCACAATAACATTTCTGGTGTATAAAGTCGTGTGAGACAATTTCAGAACTGAAGCCCCTCCTCACCCCACCTCATTCTCGCGACCCCCACGTCCTCACCTCAGTGCCAGGCTTATAGTAGGAAAACTCTCCTGGGGTGACCCTCAGCCGTCTCCTGCAACATAATCATTGGGACCTGTTAAATACATCTTACAATTGCTTTTCACTTCATACACGGGGCGGTGGGGTAGCGTAGTGGTTAAAGCGTTCGTTCGTCACGCCGAAGACCCGGGTTCGATTCCCCACATGGGTACAATATGTGAACCAACTTTTCTGGTGTCCCCCGCCGTGATATAGCTGGAATATTGCTAAAAGCGGCGTAAAACTAAACTCACTCACTCACTCACCCTTCACACACCCATACAGTCCTCAGCTCTTTCTGACATTACTTCCAGAGATTATAATTAGGACCAGTCCTACATCAATCGATAAATCTAATATAAAGGTATCTTTAGGATAGAAGAAATATCACGTTGAGAGGTATAAATATTAGGTTGGAAGGCTTTGACTGACGTCGTTGTTGTATGACATCGACACCACCAACAACGTTACAATTACGTCCATAAAGATATTCTCTTGTTTGTGAATAAAATAGAGCAAGTGGTATTATTATTCATTTCTCTTTGAGTGAATTACCTGCATGCTGAGGAGATGGATTATATCAATAACAATAGCAGGCTCGTGCACTGATCGATATATGTAATATATGGGCAGCTTTAGGCTCAAAGAAATATCACTTTGAGAGGGAGAAGTTCAAGGTTAGAAGGCTTTCGCTGAGGTTATTTTTGTCTGATATCGAAATCTTAGAACCCTGCACAGAAAGTTACAATTATGTCGATGAAAAGTATTTCTTGGGTTATAAATAACTGGATAAAGTGATCTTATGATTTACTTTCCATTGTGAGAAGTATTTTGTGTAAAAATGTAGATTATATCAAACATACGCGTGATGATGGTACTGCGAGTACATGACCAGAGGAATAATGGAGTAAATGAATGTTCTTTTGCGCCGCGGTGGGCATGTTGTTCAGTGGAAATGGAATCTTCCGTTACACGCGAAAACACCCACAGTCCTGGCTGAGATCCCGACTGAGTTTTGGCAGTAACAGAAAATGACGATTGAACGTGAATGATTGATGGCATCTCGACAAAGAAAGGTTATCTATTCTTAAATAGCTTGCTACACGCCAGACATTTCTATCGTTAAGTTACGACAAATGGCTTTTAGACGATTGTTATAGACTAACAAAAAGAATAAAATATGTCGTGTCTTAAGTTTGGAGACGTACTGGTACATCTTCTTTTAATTATAGATGAGGTTGAAGTCTATGGCTCTTGGATGCGTGTTTTAAATGACCGCAATTACTACGAAGTGCTGGAAGTGTAAACATTAATAGCGTTAAATGGAGGAAATGCCCCATGTCTGTTACATAAAACATCCAGGCATTTATATTACCCATCAAAAGTTTAGACTCACTAGTGTAAATGTAGCCACTTACTTCAGTCAACTGTTCTAAACTAGATTTTGCAAGATATTCCATACTGTATAAAGGTACTGTTTACACATGAACTGATGGTACTGTAAAACAAAGTCGTAACGTGGAAAAGATTATTGTCATGAGTTCAATAAATGATGAAACTCAATGAAAATTGGCGAATTCTTAACAAAACAAAACACGATATTTGCACATGCTTTTTAACAATTTGATGCATGATCCTCGTGCAGTTCATCTGCATCAGGTTTGCAGATGTTTTTTCCAAGTTAGTGTAGAAATTCATCTTCAATGTAACCATATATATATATACATAACATATAGTGAGTGCTTTCAGTGAGTCTAAACTGTTGATGGGTAGTATATAACCCTCTCTGTAATTATGAATTGTACATTCCCCGTTAGCCACAATATTGTCAACTCCGCGTTAAGTACGTGTTTCTCTTGCCGATGTCACACTTTCAAAATAAATTAATAAAACATCTTCATCTTTTCTTTTACTTCTCAAATTGACTGTCTATGTTAACAGTCCCAGACAAATCAATGCAAGAGTCTTTGTGTGGGAGGTTCGGTGGCACTGGAAACTACAAAATGACGTGAAATATTCGCTTGTTACGAGGGAGAGCAGGAGGAGGTTTATAGAGTGTTACACACAATCCTGCTTAAGCTCAGCAGGAAATTTATCCGATATTCCGCAGCTTGGAGGAAGCCGCTCTGATTGGAAGATTAAAGGACTCTAGGAGATCCGACGTGCAGCGAAAACCTTCTAACCTATATCAACACGCTTATTGAAGATTATTCCAGTGATGGGGTTACGCAATGGTGGGTTTGTTTCCCGCGACTTCTTTGTGTGTGTGTGTATTAATATCTGCCTACACATCATTCGCGAATTTAAGTATGGTTTTAACTACCATAAAAATGTTAAAATTATCAGGAAAAAAGATCCTCAAGTGACGAGTGGGAGGAGTGTTGTGTGGCCGTGAGTAGGATGATGTCGATGTTCTGTTGTATAATGAGGGATGAATAACGTGTTGTACTGGGAACACGACGAGCCTATTGTACACTGAAGCGTTCTGGGATGGTGGTCCCTTTGGGGAAAGAAAGTGTCCATTACTTAATAAATAATTCCATGTAGAAAATTGAAATGTTAGATCAATGGTTATTTGCCACCGTGATATTGTGGAGATTCGAAAGAAGTAGTCTATTGTTACATCTCTTGGGTGAAAACAGATTGATTTTTGAAATGTCGGACATCTTGTAAACGATACTTTTTTCACAAATGATAATCATAGTTATTTTTTCCTTTTGTATAATCAGTTAAATGTTTTTCGTTAAGCCTTAAACTATTTAAGGTTTCTCGTGTGTTATAAACGCATCATTACATGCTATTATTTAAGTGAGTGAGTGAATGAGTTAAGATTTTAAGTCACATCGGCAATATTTCAGCCATATCATGACTAAAACTAGTTACTTTTATTTAAGAAAATTCTGACATATATAAAACGCCACAGTCACCAATGTCACGACATGTAACATTCGTCTGAGCCAGAAAACTAATGATTGAAAACATGAGCAAACAAACTGGAGATACGATTTCACTCAATCTGGAGGTGATGAAGTCCGACCACACAGCCATAAAGAAACCTCCTACATCAGATAAAACAACTGTGGCCCAGGTCGTGGTTGGCTATGCAGTATATGATACAGAGACATGAGATTAGGACTGACTTGTTCCATGTTGTGATGGTGGTGTTCCCCTTCTTCTCCAGGACGGCTTCCTTGATGACCTTGTCAGCCAACATCGGCAGTGTTGGCAACACCGACACACGCCGACCCGAATCTTTGATGCCCGGAGTTGTCGCCCCTGAATGTGACGCATTTTCTCATTATACCCATCATTTTCAATGTGGAGAAACTGGACATTTTTAAATATATGTTGTTTTTTTGTTTGTTTATTTAAGCGATATTCCAGCTACCTGGCAATGGTTTGTAAATAATCGAGTCTGGACCAGAAAATCCAGTGATTGACATCAAGATCATCGATCTATGTAAACTGGGATACGATGACAAGTGTCAACCAAGTCAGCGAGCCTGACCACCCGATCCCGTCAGTCGCCTCTTACGGCAAGCATGAGTTGCTGAAGACCAATTCTAACCCGGATCTTCACGGGATGTAATTCCCTCAACAATCTGTGATGGACCGTGTCGACCGAATCATAAATATACATGGATAATGGTTTTGTGGTACAAACATGTGTGAAAATATGTCTGAAATCAGATTGTTTAAATATTCACTGAGTGAAGCGCGATATATGCTACCACTTACCATCCTCCTCCTCGTCTTTGTCCAGAACGAGGCTGATGAGGCGACACAGGGTATACTTCTCCTCCACATTATCAGCATCGAATTCAAATTCACTGTCCTTGAATTTCAGAACTATGTGCAGACCCTCCTGTTGAAGGCAAACGACAGTACATGGGGCTGTTGTCAGACAGGTGCAAAGTTGGAGCACATACACGCCTCTATAACAACTGACGTCAGTGTTACCTTCTACGGATATGACATTGTGCTGATCTATACTGATAGTATCTGACAAGGAGGAGCTGTCTGGAAAATGTCTGTCTGTCTGTCTCTCTGTGTATGTGTGTGGAACAGATGTCTGTGTCTGTCTGTCTGTCACTCTGGAAAAAATAATTGAGATTCAGCCTAGCAAGTAAGGGAATATGGTTTTATTCCGCCTTTGTCCAGCAACATCAAAAACTGGATGTCCAGAAATGATCTTCACACATTGCAACCGTGTCAAGAATCGACCTCTAGCCTACACCACCGCTCAGTATTCGCATGACAGGATGTAATTCATGGTATCAGTCAGTATCGATTATTGGTTTTGCATGACGTATCTGTCGCGAGGCATACTAAAATATACATGCGTGTGTATGTAACCTTTGTTTTCCATGACGTATCTGTCGCGGGGCATACTGAAATGTACATGCGTGTGTATGTAACCTTTGTTTTCCATGACGTATCTGTCGCGGGGCATACTAAAATGTACATGCGTGTGTATGTAACCTTTGTTTTCCATGACGTATCTGTCGCGGGGCATACTGAAATGTACATGCGTGTGTATGTAACCTTTGTTTTCCATGACGTATCTGTCGCGGGGCATACTAAAATGTACATGCGTGTGTATGTAACCTTTGTTTTCCATGACGTATCTGTCGCGGGGCATACTGAAATGTACATGCGTGTGTATGTAACCTTTGTTTTCCATGACGTATCTGTCGCGGGGCATACTGAAATGTACATGCGTGTGTATGTAACCTTTGTTTTCCATGACGTATCTGTCGCGGGGCATACTAAAATATACATGCGTGTGTATGTAACCTTTGTTTTCCATGACGTATCTGTCGCGGGGCATACTAAAATATACATGCGTGTGTATGTAACCTTTGTTTTCCATGACGTATCTGTCGCGGGGCATACTGAAATATACATGCGTGTGTATGTAACCTTTGTTTTCCATGACGTATCTGTCGCGGGGCATACTGAAATGTACATGCGTGTGTATGTAACCTTTGTTTTCCATGACGTATCTGTCGCGGGGCATACTGAAATGTACATGCGTGTGTATGTAACCTTTGTTTTCCATGACGTATCTGTCGCGGGGCATACTGAAATGTACATGCGTGTGTATGTAACCTTTGTTTTCCATGACGTATCTGTCGCGGGGCATACTGAAATATACATGCGTGTGTATGTAACCTTTGTTTTCCATGACGTATCTGTCGCGAGGCATACTAAAATATACATGCGTGTGTATGTAACCTTTGTTTTCCATGACGTATCTGTCGCGGGGCATACTGAAATGTACATGCGTGTGTATGTAACCTTTGTTTTCCATGACGTATCTGTCGCGGGGCATACTGAAATGTACATGCGTGTGTATGTAACCTTTGTTTTCCATGACGTATCTGTCGCGGGGCATACTAAAATATACATGCGTGTGTATGTAACCTTTGTTTTCCATGACGTATCTGTCGCGAGGCATACTAAAATATACATGCGTGTGTATGTAACCTTTGTTTTCCATGACGTATCTGTCGCGGGGCATACTAAAATATACATGCGTGTGTATGTAACCTTTGTTTTCCATGACGTATCTGTCGCGGGGCATACTAAAATATACATGCGTGTGTATGTAACCTTTGTTTTCCATGACGTATCTGTCGCGGGGCATACTAAAATATACATGCGTGTGTATGTAACCTTTGTTTTCCATGACGTATCTGTCGCGGGGCATACTGAAATGTACATGCGTGTGTATGTAACCTTTGTTTTCCATGACGTATCTGTCGCGGGGCATACTGAAATGTACATGCATGTGTGTATGTAACCTTTGTTTTCCACATCTGTCGCGAGGCATACTAAAATATACATGCGTGTGTATGTAACCTTTGTTTTCCATGACGTATCTGTCGCGGGGCATACTAAAATATACATGCGTGTGTATGTAACCTTTGTTTTCCATGACGTATCTGTCGCGGGGCATACTGAAATGTACATGCGTGTGTATGTAACCTTTGTTTTCCATGACGTATCTGTCGCGGGGCATACTGAAATGTACATGCGTGTGTATGTAACCTTTGTTTTCCATGACGTATCTGTCGCGAGGCATACTAAAATATACATGCGTGTGTATGTAACCTTTGTTTTCCATGACGTATCTGTCGCGGGGCATACTAAAATATACATGCGTGTGTATGTAACCTTTGTTTTCCATGACGTATCTGTCGCGGGGCATACTAAAATATACATGCGTGTGTATGTAACCTTTGTTTTCCATGACGTATCTGTCGCGGGGCATACTAAAATATACATGCGTGTGTATGTAACCTTTGTTTTCCATGACGTATCTGTCGCGGGGCATACTGAAATATACATGCGTGTGTATGTAACCTTTGTTTTCCATGACGTATCTGTCGCGGGGCATACTGAAATGTACATGCGTGTGTATGTAACCTTTGTTTTCCATGACGTATCTGTCGCGGGGCATACTAAAATATACATGCGTGTGTATGTAACCTTTGTTTTCCATGACGTATCTGTCGCGGGGCATACTAAAATATACATGCGTGTGTATGTAACCTTTGTTTTCCATGACGTATCTGTCGCGGGGCATACTGAAATGTACATGCGTGTGTATGTAACCTTTGTTTTCCATGACGTATCTGTCGCGGGGCATACTGAAATGTACATGCGTGTGTATGTAACCTTTGTTTTCCATGACGTATCTGTCGCGAGGCATACTAAAATATACATGCGTGTGTATGTAACCTTTGTTTTCCATGACGTATCTGTCGCGGGGCATACTGAAATGTACATGCGTGTGTATGTAACCTTTGTTTTCCATGACGTATCTGTCGCGAGGCATACTAAAATATACATGCGTGTGTATGTAACCTTTGTTTTCCATGACGTATCTGTCGCGGGGCATACTGAAATGTACATGCGTGTGTATGTAACCTTTGTTTTCCATGACGTATCTGTCGCGGGGCATACTGAAATGTACATGCGTGTGTATGTAACCTTTGTTTTCCATGACGTATCTGTCGCGGGGCATACTGAAATGTACATGCGTGTGTATGTAACCTTTGTTTTCCATGACGTATCTGTCGCGGGGCATACTGAAATGTACATGCGTGTGTATGTAACCTTTGTTTTCCATGACGTATCTGTCGCGGGGCATACTGAAATGTACATGCGTGTGTATGTAACCTTTGTTTTCCATGACGTATCTGTCGCGGGGCATACTGAAATGTACATGCGTGTGTATGTAACCTTTGTTTTCCATGACGTATCTCTCGCGGGGCATACTGAAATGATTTGGGTGCTTCTGTCATGCTAGTGGTGTATTACATATATTAGATAAACCGTTATATTGTTAATTTACCTCGGAATCGAAGTGTTGCAGCTGTTCAAAGTTGTATGTCTTCTTTATATGTCCCCTCTGTATGAGGTAGATGCTCTCTCCGGGGAAGTCCAGCTGCGGATGAAACACATGTAACAAATAGAGGATCCCATCCCAGTATTTAGATATCAAATGTAAAGTCTAGCACCCTTGTGTCGAACTCCCAGTTCCGAAGTGAAGTGTCAGGTCTCTGCGTATACCTTCCTTCGTTGTGTTGCGTTTGTGTCGAACCTCTGAAACCTCGAGATAGTCCCGAAGGCCCCATCAACTTCGACACAGCGGTGTTCGACACTATCAACACAAGGCATTCGAAACCATGATAACTGTTGCTACCACGATTAAGGGACGCAACTCTTCGGCAACTTGGAGGACTTCAGTGAACGAGTTGACTATGAACGTGCTGTAGTCTTCTATAAACTACTGACGATTCGAAGATAAAATTACCTTAGGGGACCTGTTTAACGTCAGATGTGGCCTCAAAAAGACGACGTACGGCAACGGACAATATTTAGATTTGGTGAGTCAGGTGTTATATTGGCTGTTTTGAATATTTCTGTTTAACCCAATCACTCGTGTATTTTAAAAAAGTCTACACGTTATCTTAAGACGGGACTTTTTTGGCCCATCAGGATTGGCAACTTTGAAAAATACGGAAAAGTTTGATTACTGACAGTAACATTATCAGCTATGTGTAATTGACTGTAAACTTGCTTTTCTATTCTTACGCTTTGCATTCTTTTACTTTCTCCATATGTAACCAAAACAAGTGAAAAGAACGGTTTGGAATACCTCTAAACACAATATCAGCAGCTCCGTGACCCAAGTGTTTTTGTGCTGTTTATATTTTCATTCCTAGGACACAACTGTCTAGTGTTAAAAAACTTGTTCAGTTTCAAATATCATAAAAACGCATACTATAAACCTCTAAAATATGTTTTCTTTCGACATTTGACCAACACATTTAATCTAGTTATATGTACCGTGAACATAGTCCAGTTGACATTCAAATGAAAACATTACACAATATCATTCAAAACGATTTCTACGAGTTTATTTCATTTTATAAATTATTCAGACCTTGTAGACAAAATATACTTTGCCATACCGTGTGGCTAGACTTTAGAATACAAGTGATACATATTTTATAGACTTTTGTTTCATATATCACCACACCTATTGTTGAAGTATTGCGCTGCTGAAACTGACAAGGACACTCCACTATCAAATATCATCGGTAACAATGCATCCCATGGTATGCATCAATTATGCATGCAGAAAGGCTTTGCCGGTCTGACCTTTGTCCTCGGCGCGTCGATTAGGGCGCTGTTACGTAACAAGATGTCTCGGGAGAGACGGTGACAGAGTGTCTTTCCGGACATCCGCTCAGTGAGTTTCGTGTTCTTTGCTGTTTAACACCAGTGTCAACAAAATTCCAGGTACGTGTCTGTAAATATTTGTGTTTAGACCAGACAATCCAGTGATAAAGCGAACGTCGATCCATAACAGGGGTACCATGGCACCAAACAACAAGTGTCAGTGAGACTCGATCCCGTTAGTTTCCTCATCTCAATTTGTTTATTCAGCATGCTTGTGGCCTCCGGCCCATATACAGATGATACAAGCAGCAGGTTGGAACTTGCAAATTACAAACTTTGACGTCTCAGACGTAGTGGATAGTCAACACAACGTTGTAGCTTAATAATAACGTTTGTATCATTAGGTTGATGAAACTAGTTTTTATATTACAGGATGTACAGACAAATGTTAACGGTAGGTATTTAGATCTTAGGCTTTCATAAGCTGGACATATCATAACAATGAAATTCATCTTCAATCAAACTTACACACTTTACACAGTCGCAGTGTTCTTATCACGTTATAATATCGCCAAAGTTCAACTTGTAATCTGGTCATGCGATTACGCAGTTTCGTCAAGTCGCGACGATATAAGGAGCAGTCACCATGCGTTAAATACAATTCCGGTTGTAAATTCAGTTTAAATGAAGACTAAGAGTCATATCTGCTACAACATTGCAAGCTAAATTTCCATTCATGAGTTAAGATAAGTTAATTTCCTCTTACCCCTCAGTATATAGTTTGTTTTCATTGGATGGCACAGATTCGAATTGTTCTGCGAAACAATTCCTGTTCCTGAACTCAAATCTCCCATTCTAAACCCAGACATTTAATTCCTCATTCGTGTTGTGTGCATGTTTCCTCAGAAACTCAGTAGTGAGTGAGTGAGTGAGTTGGGTTTAAACCCATTTTAGCAATATTCCAGCAATATGATAGCGGGGGACACCAGACACATTATACCCATGTGGGGAATCGAACCCGAGTCTTCGGCGTGACGAGCGAACGCTTTAACCGCAAGGCTATCCCACCGCCCCAGAAAAGATTAGAAAAGCCTGTATTGGCCAGTATATACAGACGTTTCAAAACTGATTTACACCATACCTATCCTAAGGCCAGAGAAGGAAAAGGTGTGATAATAGTTAAAGACGCATTTCCAAACACCACGAGCCAACCTTGAATAATGTATATTTTATATTCATAGTATTACACATATTATTGGCAACTCATCTGGGAAGTAAGCCCCATTTGGTAATTTGGATTTCTTAACAAAACATGAACACAGGTAATATGTGGGGTTAACTGTAGTAGACCGGATATACTCTCTTAAATGGACATTAAGTCACTTAGGATAGGATACTAGTACGCTCTCATATGAGATAGTGTCCGACAATCTAACGAGAAGGCTCTTCCACGGAGCAGACAACCACTCACCAATGAGAGAGCGTCAGGCTATCTAGTATATCTATACAGACGCTCTCTCTCTCTCTCTCCAGTCACAACCAGATTAAAGCCGGGGCATTGCAGAGTCACACACATCGTAAACATATCACATGAGTCACAGCTTACAGTACACACACGACACACATAACACGATATGGGGCGCGATAACAGACATTGTGGCTAGTGGAAAGAATGTTCGTGTGAGAGCGTGAGTTGAATTACACTGCTGGCGTAAATATCTGCCTTGCAAATAAACTATACGCCCAGTTTTGAGGACAGCTATTAAACGAACAAGAAATACTTACTCGATGTGGACACATATTTGATACGATTGTAACAGTTGTGTTGTGAGTGAATGAGCGAGTGAGTGAGTGAGTTTGGTTTTACGCCTCGTTTAGCAAAATTCCAGCAATATCACTGCAGGGGACACCAGAAATGGGCTTCACGCATTGTATACGTACCCATGTAGGCAATCGAACCCGGGTCTTCGGCGTGACGAGCGAACGCTTTAACCACTAGGCTACCCCACCGCCCCTTATGCAACTAGGACGTAGATGTAGATGACGTTGTGTATCTGGGGGACTGTAAACTGACGGGCGTTTGTTGTGAATAACCTGGCAGTTAGCAGACATGTTTTGAATCCAGTTTTCAGTAGCTTACTGTAAAATCAGTGACCTTGTCATAACAGCATCATAATTACTGTTATAGTACAGTGTTCAACTCGAACAATGTTATACGCAGAGGGTTGTCAACATGGGTTTTTAAAATCCAACATCCTAAGGTTTGGCTATACATGTATAGTGTTTTGATCACTCTTAGAACTGGGTTGTAGATTAGTGCTGTGGTTTAAGCGTTCGCTCGTTATAATGAATAACCAGTTTGTACCTCAGGGGTTGTATCCCACCAAACCCCTGCAGTATTGCAGCGAGTGAGTATTGCTTTACCCCGCTTATAGCAATATTCCAACAATATCACGGCGGGGGCTCTAGAAATGGGCTTTACACATTGTACCCATGTGGGGAAATCAACCTGGATCTTCGGCGTGACGAGCAAACCCTTTAACCACTAGGCTAACTCACCGTATTTGCTGTATTTGAACAGGTGGCTAATCCTACACATTCGTACAACCTATAACCGGTAATCTTATGCATTCACGACCACGACACACAAGGCACTTGTGCTATTTAGCATATACTTAGATAACATATCCATATTGAGAATGAAAACCCTACATTGTCCCTAATTCTGAATCGCTGGAGTTTTGAGTAAGGCGATGAGTGAAGACACACAGTTACTTTGTTGTACAACAAAAGTTAAATGAGACCATCATTGTGATTGTGACGTCTAAACGTTGCTAGATGCAGAGTTGCGTACCTTAGGCGTGACAGAAACCTATGACCGTTGGTTCGAATCCGGGTGGGTTGTTCTGTTTACCTCGCTATACCAGTACTCCTTGGTCTACCGCATTATCAACATAACACACCTTGATTTAACTGAAACGCTGTTCAAAACCAACTCACTCACTCCAAAGAAATCATCAATTGATCAGTATTTATCAGTACATTGTCAACATATGTATGTATGTCTGGGGAGTGTAGTGTGAAGGTATCGACGCGGTTATAAGTATTTCCTTCACTATATGTTGACGCCATGCTCATTAACGTAGGTAGAAGTTGGGGAACCTTCCCAGTCACCTTATGTTTGTACACTGGATGGTGGTCAAACTAATTGCCGACTTCAGCGGAATAATGTGAACGAGAAAAGACCAACTTTTAACAGGCTGAGAATATCAATCTTGATTTACCCTTTCTTAAATTTGTTTCAGTTCTTAACCTTATTATGTTATCCAGTGCTGATTAACGGTTTCATAACAATTTCCACCATTTCGATGACAGTGCGTCAGATTCGCCGACGGACTAAGTTGTAATTACCATAGCCTGGGGCTCGTCTCTTAATGCGAGCCGAAGGTTTGGCCGTCCCTAGAGGTTATGTGGTGCATGAGAATTAACTTTTTATTAGGAACATATTTAAACATATGATAAATTATAAATTCTCCCCTACTCTGTTTCAAGAGAAACAAATATACTTCAATGACTGGCCCAATCATCACCCTTTTGTGTATCATCGGAAATGTACTGAAAATAACTGTAAACGTCATTTGATGCAAGGAGTGTGTGAGTGAGTGAGTGAGTGAGTGAGTGAGTGAGTTTAGTTTTACGCCGCACTCAGCAATATTCCAGCTATGTGGCGGCAGTCTGTAAATAATCGAGTCTGGACCAGACAATCCAGTGATCAACAGCATGAGCATCGATCTGCGCAATTGGGAACCGATGACATGTGTCAACCATTCAGCGAGCCTGACCACCCGATCCCGTTAGTCGCCTCTTACGACAAGCACAGTCGCCTGTTGTGGCAAGCATGGGTTGCTGAAGACCTATTCTACCCCGGATCTTCACGGGTGTTGATGCAAGGAAGGATAACAATAAATGGATGAACAACTTATCAAACAAATCATCAAACCGTTTTCGAACAAATTATAACCTTGACCGAAACGTCCCCGTTTGATGGTAACTAATATATGACACAAATGGAAAATGGTTATTCGACTGAGATGAATCTGATATCAGAATGGTTAGGAACCGGAAGTTCCAGCGACTGTTTTCGTTAAAGTTTTGTTTTGATAACGTTGATATTTTTTCCGTCAAATCCAATTATAAAATATATACTTTGTTCTGCAAGGCAGTAAAGTATAGAATCCTGGAAGGGACGTTGTCGCCCTCTCAAATACAAGCAAAATGAGGCAAAATTAATCAAAGCGCGACAACGCGACAATGTCCCTTCTCGGATTCCATAGTAAAAAGTCGATTTTTTCCAACATTTTTTAGTCTCACCTGCAATATTGCCCGTTTCCCATTTTTCTTGTAAATTCCAAAATTGTGTATTTTAACGTGCAATTGGTCACACGAGGCCATGCTGTCATCTGACGACCCCACGGAATCCTGAAACACAAACACACCAATCAGAGCATATCATAATGTGTTTACATTCATCACATTGCTGGTAGCTAGGCTGGACTTCAACATCAATCCATCAACGCCATGTTTTTGGTGATTGATAAACACATTCCTCAAAACACCTCGTTCACGATTAGCCGACTATTCGTATGATATGGTGTACACTGCCATGTGTGCTATTATTAGACTTTGTCGGTAAGTGTCGACACAATGAAACCCGGTTGAATCAAACTCCCATCATCTCGAGATATGGGTGAAGACGACATCAATAGCTGTTGAACATTCGAACATTCGCAGTTCGCGCTTCTCGACATACGGATATCTCGACATGTATTCAACTGTGGGTTAGCGATGTTTCCCTGAAAATATTGTTTCTTAATGTATCATGACAGGAAATAATCATTTTTGAAGGTCAAGGTCAAGAGTAAAACCAAAGTACATGTAAACCGAAATCTTGCCTGGAACATCCAAGGAATTCCTCGTCAGAACACATGATTCCAAATAGCCCGTGCTTGTAACAGGGGAATACAGAGTTTGGGTGATGAGGCTCATTGACGTGGTTGACTGTGTGCCATAGTAGCAGGTTGCATTTTATATCAATCACTGGTTTGTTTGGTCCACATTCAATTATTTTGCATCCGGCTGCCATTCAGCTAAAATAATGCTGAATGCGGCATAAAAACAACAACAACAACAACAACAGCAACAAAAGAGAATGAAACAAAGTATTTATTGAATTTCTAAGCAGTGCCATCATGACACAGAAGCTAAGGCTCTTCTTCGCACAAACATTCTCTCCTTAAAACATTGTCTTGGTGTTTTCTTTTAACATTCAACCGATCCCTAATCTTAAAATGGGGCCTACATTATCGTGCTATATATAGCGTCGATGACGGGACTTTCGTATAAAGAAACTCAATGGCATAAATCACGTGGTTCAGTAGGTCCTCTAGCCTTAGTGTATCGCTCGATGACCCTCTTTAAACACTAGACATATGTTTGTAATTGCAAACAAAGGTTCCATTTGTACACTGCTTCCACAGCGAAACACATGTAACACAAGATGTCTCACCTCAGGTAAGTTGCCGCTGTTCGTCCAGCAGTGAATGGGTACCCGGTGGGATATGATGACTGTTATCAATCTGGCGCCTCAAAGGAAGCACACTGATCCATTGACAAGTGTAATTATGTTAGGGCTTTGAGCTTACTCCTTGATAGGAGTTACCGCAGTATTATTATCATGATTGATATGAAAGGGTGCCTCGATTCCATTCCACCCAAATCTCACGATTGCTGTTGCTTTTGAAATTGGTTACATTCTCATGCTCATGTAACACAAAGGGAACTATTTATAGGGAAAGGTTAATATGAATCATATTGCTTCTTCCTCATTGTTAAAGTGGTTTCCTGAACGACATCAACATTCAGACTTCTGTACAGGTGACAAATATATTGATTTGCTGGCCTTTGTCGTTCCTTGTCCCCGTCTGTAGAATAGCTTGAGTAACAATCCGTTTAAAACATGACTAGGTAACTCTCTTAAAACCGATAAAGAAATTCACTTTGTTAGTATTTTTTACACTGAAACTTAAGGTAGAAAATAACACAAAACATGTCTTGCATTTAGTTAAGTTTGCTAATTATTTGATTTTATCTAGGACTCGCTCTGTCACACCGTTTAAGACATTAATTCGTTGACATAAATGTGGTATAATTGCTATAAGTCATCATCAGTATGAGCTCATGAAAAACCAAACAAGAATGTAATATACATATATTTGTCATGCAGTGAGGATGACAAAGACGACAACGATGATGATGATGATGATGATGATGATGATGCACATCGGTATAGTGTCTGTGTTATCATTAGCACTCATACCAAAACGACAAACTGTGATTCTTGACTGGTGGTCATTAAGAATATAGTCTCTTTATTACTTACTCCAGATGAGCGTAATGAAGTAAACTCATTCAGTATATTATTACATATTTCTATAATGAGAATCGTGATATCTTTATCCAAAATATATACATTTCCTTGTCATCAGCAATCAGAGGTATATTAACCAGCGGGTGACCCAGCACGACAGATGTCGGTATGTCTGTCACAGTGAGATACCTCTGATTAGTCCATCTGCACCTGAAGCAGGTGGTGTCAGGTAAAATAGGGTTTAACGTCGTACGTGAGAATATTTCGCTGTTATGACGACGTGCCTGCGTGTGTGTATGTGTGGCTGCTTGTACTAGCCCAGCTGTTTTCATAGTACTAGCTCACTAAGATACCATGCCGCAGTTAAGCATGTATACCCCACTCAGACACATTATACTGACTCCGAGCCGACCAGTCCTTGTTGTACCCATTAATGCCGAGGGCCAGGCAGGGACCATCAAGTACCATATTTCAACGTCTTTTGGTATGACGCGGCCGAGGATCGAACCCGCGACCTTCCACTCTCCGGGTGGACGCTCTGACCACTACACCACGGAGGTGCACACCTTAAGCAGGCTTTTGGGTCCTAACTACCTTATACTGGGCTATACTCGCTAATCCCAGGAGCTTACTACAGTGTAGGCGACCCTTGGAGGCTTAGTGCAGTGTTACATTTTGGTTAGCTTCAGCATTGTAAGGTCAGCGAAATGATCACAAGTGTTATGAAAGTTCCCATGAACAGATAAATCATATAACGATCGTTTCGTAAAACTGGGTAAAGCCAGTGCAAGCCACAATAGCGCTTGGTTTACATACTGGGTAGAATGACTGCAGTGTAAGCCACAATTGCGCTTGGTTTACACACTGGGTAAAATGGCTGCAGTGTAAGCCACAATGGTGTTTGGTTTACATACTGGGTAAAATGACTGCAGTGTAAGCCACAATGACGCTTGGTTTACACACTGGGTAAAATGACTGCAGTGTAAGCCACAATAGCGCTTGGTTTACATACTGGGTAAAATGCCTGCAGTGTAAGCCACAATGGCGCATCGATTCCACAATGGGTGAAATGGCTGCAGTGTAAGCCACAATAGCGCTTGGTTTACATACTGGGTAGAATGACTGCAGTGTAAGCAGCAATTGGTCTTTGTTTACATACTGGGTAGAATGACTGTAGTGTAAGCCGAAATAGCACTTGGTTTACATACTGGGTAGAATTACTGCAGTGTAAGCCACAATAGCGCTTGGTTTACATACTGGGTAAAATGAATGCAGTGTAAGCCACAATGGCGGATCGATTCCACAATGGGTGAAATGGCTGCAGTGTAAGCCACAATAGTGCTTGGTTTACACACTTGGCAAAATGACATCAGTGGACAACTGAATGGATCCTGGACTATGCTGGCAAATGGTTGCAGTGTAAGTGACAATGGCGCCTGGTGAAGGATGTCTGAAGTTTAATTGAGTGTGAGTGAGTTTAGTTTTACGCAGCTTTTAGCAATATTCCAGCAATATCACAGCGGGGGACACCATGTGCCCATGTGGGGAATCGAACCGGGTCTTCGGCGTGACGAGCGAACGCTTTAACCACTAGGCTACCCCACATACCCTCTGCGGTTTAAGCCTCTTGACCTTCACACTGTTATCTACAACCTGCTGCCAATCACAAGGGCTGTATGTTCGCAGTGTGTATATATATGCATGTGACACTGAGAAGACTTATCAGTATCGTGCAGCTGGTTGTCGATAACACTGATTGATGTTCATTGCTCGTGTCAGCTCGGGGCCATTTATCAAAGCTGGAAATATTTACGAGTACATGAATTCACTTGATTCAGTCTTGACCGTCTTAACCTGGAAATATATGTCTGCACTAACTAATTACAAATTAGTAGAAAGAGAAACGTGGTAAACAAACCCACATTGGCACATGATGTTTGCTATATTGTGTATTTCCCAAGGCACAAGACAATATGTATACTAGTATTGTGTACATTCATTATTTGGTCAAAATGAGCATAAACCGTTAAAAAAACAATGACATTTATTGGAGATCTATTAATATATATTCGTCGAACGGACTAATAACATATTTTCTCTCATGTGAAAAACGATCAATCATGCTCTTCCTGATATCGGCGACTCGTTGAAAGTAGTTTAACACCGTTTCCAAGTATTTCATGGACAAGATCAACACAATCAAATCCACATTCCCAGATCACCATCAGTCAGCTACCCAGCACTGGGCCACTGGAGAATTTGCTGTGTGAATTTGAACCTTTCACTAAAGAGGAAGTCCTGCAACTCATAGCGAGATCTAAGCCAGTATCCTGCTATCTTAATCCGATTCCAACAAAACTCCTCCTGCAAAATTTGGATATTCTTCTTCCAGTGATTGTCTCCCTTATCATCGCTTGTCTCCAATCAGGACTGGTGCCGTCAGTTCTGTAAACAGCAATTGTAAATCCTCTTTTGAAGAAACTATCCTTAGACTTAAAAAACTTCAGGCCTGTTTCAAATTTGTCATTCCTATCAAAACCTTTTGAAAGAGCTGAACGTCTCTCCTGGCATCTTGATCAGCATGGATTGTTTGACGAGTTTCAGTAGGCCTATAGAAAGCACCACACACCGAGACAGCACTTGTGAAGGTCCTCAATGACTTGAGGCTTGGTGTCATCTGGTCCTACTCGTTTTGCTCGATCTAAGTTCAGCATTTGATACCATTGATCACAGCTGCTTGAGCTCGAGACTTCGGACTGAATATCAGATCGATGGACAGGCCCTAGCGTGGTTTCACTCATACCTCTCACAGATACAGTCCCCATTGCTGGACGTTTATCTGATCCCCAGGAACTGACATGTGGAGTACCACAAGGCTCGGTACTAGCCCTGTGCTTTTTTCCTGTACAATAAACCCATTTCCAGCGTTGTTCAAGATCATGACATTCTTCGCCATCAAAATACTGATGATCCACAACTGATGAAGATGTTCCAGCCTGATGCCTTGAGTGTCACCTCTGCTGCAGATAGCCTTTCGGAGTGCTTTGATGACGTCAAGAACTGGATGTCCAACAACAAGTTGAAATTGAACGACTCTAAAACTGAGTGTTTGCTGATTGGATCCAAAGCAAAAGTGAAACATACAGACTTGAACTCTCTCACGTTTGGACAGTGCACCATTCCGTCAGAGATCTTGGGGGTCATCATCGATCCAGGGCTTAGTCTCGAAGGGCACGTCAACCATCTTGTCAAAACGTCATATTTTCAACTCAGGAACATCGGGAGCATCAGAAAATATCTGACAGTAGACTCCACCAAAATCTTGGTGGTTTTCCTTGTCTTCTCGACACTGTACGATTCTAATAGTGCCTTCTTCATCCCGAAACTGGACTATTGTAATAGAGTCCCCTTTGGTGCCCCTCTGTCCCTTACAAATAAGCACCAGCGAGTGCAAGAACACCGCCTCCAGAATCATTTCAAAAAGTCAGAAACGCGACCATATAACACCAATTCTAAGGGAACTACACTGGCTTCCAGTCTCCCAGAGAATCACATTCAAGGCCCTTTGCCTAACCTAAAAGTGCCTCAACAATCAAGCGCCTTCCTATCTCTCGGACTTACTCTACAACTGTGTCCCTAGCCGTTCTCTGTCCTCTGAATCAAAGCAACTCCTCAGTGTGCCTAAACTCAGAACAACTTATGGTCAATGTTCATTTGCCTTTGGATCTCTCTTCCTCAGATGATCCGTCTCTCAGGAACTCTGTCATATTTCAAAACAAGCCTTAATACCCATTTTTTCAGACAAGTTTTTCTTCCCTGAATCTTCTCTCAACTGTGCGCTTTGAGCATGCGTTGAGCATGGAACTAGCGATATACAAATGAACTGTTATGTTATATTATATCGTAGATCTCAATCGGTGTCTAGAAAGCAAGAATTGTTCAGACAATCGGTCATTCGAGATAACCATGTTTCAATTACCCGAAGTCGAAGGTCTGGCAAAAGGACTGCCGCGGCAAGTTTGCTTTATGTAGCTAACAACCAGCTACGCCTTCTAAGTGTAATGACATTTTGTCGATTACTCTGTCTATCAACAGTCATGACCCTAATAACATGACACGTGACGACGAGCTTACTCGAATAGGGTGACCTGGCTTCTGGGTAAAGACGTCATCTGTGGTTAATGCACTGTTGGAGTTCGTCATACAGACCGTGACACACATATATATCCAATTCAAGTCTTTAGTATCCGACAAGGTTAGATTACTGCCAATTTCTGAAAATAAAGAAAGTCTCCTGGCTCCTTTTTAATTTTATTTAGATTTTCTTGAAATATGTTCAGTTAGGGAAACTAAGGTAAGTCCATGATGGGAATGATGTTGGAATTATATCTATATAGTAATTCTATGTATTACAACGTGTAGGCCGACACCAGACCTTGGATCCCAGTCTCCCTTTAATGACATGGGCGGTGTTCACCTACAGCGACACAAGTCACAGATATACATGAACCATCGACCAGTTATTACGATATTTCCGTGTTATCTATGAGATATTCGGAAATTTATATTTACGATGACGCTTACTTTGACTGTCGTGAGACTGAGCAAATACGACTGGCGTAGTCATTGAACATGATTCCTGTTGTTCCGTGAAGAGTGGGAATGCAAACTGTGGACAGATAACGTCGTCTTCCTGAAACAGTCAGACGTCACGTGCAGCGTGACTATCTTCTGCTAACAATCTATATTTGCTATCGAATATCTTCAGTCATATATTTTATTTTGAATGTTTCTACAACGGACGCAATCCCATATTCCCTAAGTCTTGCTGGGCACTATTTAGTGAAAAATGCTAAATTCAGTTATTAAACTCGCAATCTGTTACCAGTATCTATCTCCCCTCCATCCCCACACACTACACACATACCACATATCTATACTACATACATACATACATACATACATACCACATACACATACATACATACATACATACATACATACATACATACATACATACATACATACATACATACATACATACATACATACATACATACATACATACACACACACACACACATACATACATACATACATACATACATACATCCATCCGATAAGATGTTTGTCTTATAAAAAGAGACTGGGCGGGTCCTCACATAGACGATGTTTAACACCGTGACACTACGATTTACTTCTTATGCATAGACTTTAGGATCAGACTTCACGTTTGTCGTGCTCCCTTTGTTACTTAACTATAGCTAGCTGACATGGATGCTTTCCAGTCTGGTTGTTGCGTTAGTGTAGATCGACAACGTTCAGCCAACAAGACACCCCTACACTATGTTGGTTCAGGTTATTCACGTAGGCTATGTATATCGTATGAGTTAAAATTTAAACTGACCCAGTTTTCGCTGTCATGGGGAACTGGCGTGAGAGGTACAAGTTACTAAGCGTTCTATTAAATTTACATATCTCACATATTTTTAGTGTTTAAGCGCAATAAACTTCCCAGTATCCCGCGATATATATGAAACTTACACACAATTCTAAAAACAAAATAATTTTAAAAATATTAAATATTAAATCACTATGCATAACATAGGCGGATCCAGGAAATTACATACATCACATATTATGACACGTCATCTTGAAATTAAATATTCAACCATCATTAATGAATTTATAACATACGTCATGGGTGGATGTTATTTCGAAATTAAATACTGAACCAATCTTGTCAAATCACGACAACATGTCATATCAGAAACACAATCTCCACATCACGACGGCATGTCATATCAGAAACACAATCTCCACAATCTCAAAGTTCAACATTCACCTACCCTTATTGCATGATATGGACGCCCAAAATGGCCGACCAAATCAACAAGCAGTTAGCCAATATTACCAATAGTTTAAAAGTTTCTTCAAAGCAGTAAAAGGGACACAAACGCAGGAAGAGTAGCTGCGTCTTGGCCACACCTGCCGATTAAATGAAGCCAAAATCAAAACGGCGACAGAGAATATGAAAACTGACAGTGTCGACATAACTTCTGGTATATGTTTTAACTTACATTGTCCATACTGTCCAGATTGTCCATCTAGAGTGTAACCGTCCACCTCCTTAGACTGAGCGCATATAATGTACGATAATGTTACGGGTGTATAGCGGGTTTTTCCTCTAGAACCTTACGACATTCTACCCGGAAGCTGTATGTTTGTCGCAGTATGGGTTCATAGTCTTGGCTCGTTGCTATATGAGAAGTAATATTCAAGTATCGATTATTTTAAAATCTGGTCGTTTCTTTTAATAGAAAGTGCATTGATATGATAACCTTTCTACAGTTTGTAGTTTCAATTATTGTAGCTACATCATGCCGGAGATGAATGATGAAATCATTGGCTTATTCATGTCATTTGTTTTCATTTAACGTTCAATTCAATAATTTATCTATTGATTAGATGATTTGTATTCCAGGTAAACGATGATCAAATCAGTTTCTTAACATATTTGAAGTTGGGAGTTTTACGTTCGTTTTTGTGAGGAAAATTCAAATGTTTGTGATACAGGTACACAGAAAAGGTACGAAGAAAATTAGATTAATATTAATGTGTATTTGCACGTAAATCATATCAGTTGTAGAGGAAATTATGCTAATATCCTCATAATATCGATTTATAACATGATATGATGCTTAATAGATAAGATAAATATTTTGATCACACAAGTACCCTGTATTTGCATTGAGTACATCTGATGGGGCGGTGGGGTAGACTAGTGGTTAAAAGCGTTCGCTTGTCACGCCGAAGACCCGGGTTCGATTCTCCATATGGGTACAATGTGTGAAGCCCATTTGTGGTGTCCCCCGCCGTGATATTGATGGAATATTGCCAAAAGCGGCGAAAATCTAAACACACTCACTCACACCTGTAATGAGGTTACGCCACCTACCGTTATCGGTCAGTAAACACTAGCAATCCGTGTATTGTTCCCAACATGTGACTGCACGGGATTCTCGATTAAACCCTCTTGCAGTACGTGTTTAGGTGCTGTAACATTTAAAGTGTCAAGGGTGTTGCATGGCCGATATAAGGTGATCTGTTCCTCTTTCGGGATGATTGATAGCTGACCTCGCGGTCACGTGGTAATAGAAGGCTAGAGTCTAACCTTGTAAGATAACTTAACCAACCCGGAAGTAAATTCTGTAGCTGTCTTTGTGATCATCCGAGGTGTGATTTACGCGCGCCTTAGGGTTCAACCCAGAACGGTCACACCTGTGGCTCGGTTGTTTTCGGTTGTGTTTATGTGGATTAGTTGGATAAAATGTCTGATATTGGACACCGATGACGTGTATTGTTTTCTAGCCATTGGTTGTTTCAGGCTGATTCGGTTGCCATAGGCCTGCGTGGCATTGTGATTGAGTAAAACAATACCCTTCACTCAGTCCGTCATTTTCATGTATATATAGAAATGTTGTATATATCGCCTAGAAGTCTATGGTATAAGTATTATTAGTATGTATTAATTCTATCACTCACCAATAACTGATGCACATGGGCTTGTAACGCTAAAAACTGTCATCAAGGTATGTACTGTACAGTTATCCTTTTATATAGTGCTTAGACCACGTTAGTGACAGTACATACCTTGATGGCAGTTTTTAGCGTTACTAGCCCCTGTGGGTTAGTAGTCATATGACTTATCCCACCGGGTACCCATTTTCTGCTGGGCGAACAGAGGCATTTTGGAACAAACCTACTTGCCTAAGGCGATACCACATGTGCCACGTGGGATTCGTTTAGGGGCAGGACAGAAGTCTCAGGAGTCAAGCTGCCAAACACGGCCACCCATCCAAAGACTCTCCGCGCCATATATACGGTCAGAACATACATGATTAAAATAGCAACACCTAGCACAACATTTCCTTAAAACGTCTTCTGCGAGTTACTCATCTAAAGTAACGTTTGTTGTACTTTTAAGACTCGTTTTAATGTTCATCGTCCGAGGTTGACCATGCGATTGATGCGGTCAGTAGACTAAAAAAAAAGTACTGTCGGAAATTTAAAAAAATTGTATTTTCTCATTTATCTCTACAATTTATGTATTTGATATGTGCAAGTGTGAAATATCTGTTAAACTAAGTTCGGCCTAACTACAAGTCTCAGTGGTAGGGACATAAGAAACGTAGAAAAAGGACTTTACTGAGGAGAGATTAGTGCAGAAATGAGCAATGCGGTCTTTTTCTAAGTCCAAAGCGATGTATTTCGAACACACCATGGCTTTATGCAAATTAGTGTGCGACGATATTGTATTACAATGGACACTTTTTAAATGCCCAATTATAGACGATAGCTGGCGTAAAAAATAATAATTTTCATGCTGAAACTATTAAGTAGCTACCATGGAGTCTCACTGTCACTATAAAAAGAAACAGGTAGGAGGGGTCGTGTCAAAAGCAAAACCTGGACGGGTGTCGCAGACGATCGTTGGTGTCGGGCTTGGGGATAGAGATATCAGCTAAGATAAGATAATCCTTTAAGACAATTATACTGGGGAAGTACACTGCATGTCATAACAATTTGCAAATAATATCCAGTCCTGTCGATCTTCGCATACATTCAATGCGATGCGTCTCTATGGTTATCAGGTATCATACTCTTTTACATATCTCAACATAAACTTTATGAAAGAAAGACACGTAAGATGTTAATCAGTCCATGAGGCAGTCAACACACATGAAAAAGCACAAAATATATTTGAGATGACCCCTTCTGCCTGTAGGCAGCACGAGCATTTCATGCCAGGTGAGTCGACGTTCCGTCGTCATACCTGGCTGATCGACCTAATTGCCATCTATAGTCTGATCTATTGTTTTCAGCAGCTATTCGTATTTTTTCTAAGTTTTGCCCGATTTTACGAGTAAACATGTTTTTCTGGATATTCTATTACGCATCCCACTGAATGCCCAGTTAGGCCGAAGTGGGTTATTTCGACATTTGCTATTTGCAGTTGTGTAAATTTTAGGGATACAGATCTAGAGTAACAGCCTAAAAACAGTTTTTTTTCTGTTTCCGACAGTACTTTAATCTGTCTCACCTGAACCATATTAATTTCCCTTCCGCTCAGCGCTATCCACAAACGCCGTATTTGAAACATGTCTTTTTACCGTCTCACTGGGGTCCTTTTCAATTTAAAATGAAAATGGCGTTTTATGTAAGTTATATATTTTCTGAGACTAAGCTTTAGTGTACTGGTAAAGAGCCGAGTATCCCAGAAAGCCCATTGGTCAATACAACGGATTTCAACTCTTTGTAGAATTTTGATGTGAAATATCAGAAAACGAACAAGTGACTATTGTTTAACGCCGATTTAAGATGTTTCAGCTTTTTCATGGTGGCCTGTAAATAATCCAGTCAGCCAAACCAGTGACCGACAGTATGAGCAAAATCCACCAGAGTACTACCCCGTGTACCCAGTAACAGAAACCGATTCCCCGTTTAATCTTTCGATAAGTTTGCTTACAAAGGAGCACCGAGAGCATGTGTTATGGATATGACAGGTCCCTATTAAAACATCAGTATAACATCAAAGTAATAAGTAGGAATTAAAAACGGGCTATGAAGTACATTCGTATTTTACAAAATATAAAAAAGTTTCAATAAAAAAATTCCCCTGTCGGCTATCGGTACAAATTCGAAAGCTGCAGCGACACATTCTCACCTTTGCTACTCCTGGAATTTGTACACACAAAATGCTCCGATTATACCTTAGAGCACATGCGATATGCACGAGGCCATGCCGCCTATTGAAAATGCGAAACATACTCCATCGCTGGTATATATGAAAGGGCTCATGACACAGGCATACAGGATGGCATAGGACCTATTCAGTTCTTTAATATACACATGGAACTTAATTAAGCACCCGTAACATATTTTAAGTTACTGACTTACCTAATGATAAATCTTGAATTGTAACGATGACTATTATTTGAACTGTATTCCCTTTCAATATTGTTTAAGGGTTTTTCTAAATCAATCGTCAAAACACATCCCAATATGCAGTTGAAGCACACTACCCACGATTGTCTCAAAAAGCACTATTAACTCAATGCGGCTAACTGTATAAAACGCCACAACTGTTTAATGATTTTACGAGTATCTGTTATAATGACACGAAGGAGACTACCAGAAGCAAGAAGAATGCAAATTATTGGAATGCACGACACCGGGATGTCATGCAGGGCTATTGGGCGACTGCTTGACATTCACCACACCGTCATAAGTCGACTTGTTCCAAAACCAGCAAGGTTAAGGACTGACCAAGGCCAGGTCAACCCCGAAAGACATCTCAAGTTGAAGATCGGGATTTATCAAGCTTTGTGAGACGTCAGCCTTTCACTACAAATGGCGTCCTGAAGCACCTATGGCTCCCCAATAGACGTCTGTGCAATAGGACTGTAAGAAACCGCATAAAGGCACATTAGATGAGGGTAAGAAGGGTTATCAAGCTCGCAGCCTTGACAAATCTTCACAAGATAGCTCATTTGGAGTGCATTGGTCGAAGGAGAGTAAGTTTTTATTGCACGTCACAGACGGCGCCAGCGAATCTGGAGGACCAAGAACAGTGCCTATGAGCCTTAGAACATCAGAGCATCAGTTCCTTGCGGTGGTGGATCTGTCATGGTCTGGGGTTGTCCCTCCCATGAATGTAAACTGGACTTGGTAACTGTTCGTGGAAACCTCAGTGGCGACCACGACATCCGGGACATTCTTGATCCTGTTCTTGTGCCACAAGATAACCACCCATTAGCCACTCGCCCTGTATTTATGGATGGCAACGCCCGACCACATCGTTTCCCACTCGTGACAGTTTTTCTCCAACAACGCTGTAAACAAAATTCCATGGCCTGCAATGAGCCCGGATCTGAACCCATTGGAGCCTGTCTGGATCATTCTTGGACGCCGAGGGAAAAGCACTGGATCCGCATGTACAAGATCTGGCATGTTTGGAAGAAGCTTTGCGCCGGGAGTGGAAGCAGCTGCCTCTGGAGCGAATCCGAAGACTCACGACAAACATGACAAGGAGGGGTCAAAGCAGTCATCCGTGCACAAGGTGGATATGTACGCTATTAACATTTTTCATGTGATTTGTTGTCTGAGGTGAGGTGAGGTGAAATTGGGTTTAACGTCGTACTTAAGAATATTTCGCTCATATGAGGACGTGCATGCGTGTGTATGGGTATGTGCGGCTGCTTGTACTAGCCCAGACTGAAGCTGGTTTTATAGTGCTTGCCCACTGAGATACCATGCCGCAGTGAAGCATGAATACCCCACTCAGACACATTATACTGACTCCGAGCCCACCAGTCCGGGGATCGAGCCCGCGACCTTCCGCTCTCCGGGCGGACGCTCTAAGATTTGTTGTCTGAAGATGACAGAGAACATTCAGACTGAGAGACACTCACCTCTCCCATTTTGGAACTCTGCAGCCCCATAGTTGTACAGGGATACATTTTGTTGACAAAACATCGTTGACGTCTTCATGTCATTTTGTAAATGAAAATATTGCAAATTTTCATGATTTTGTTGCTATTGTTTAGTCCAAAATGTCAACTTTCAGGAAACAATGGCGTTTAAGCTTTCCAGTTTACATACTAATGGCAATATGAAAAAATCGGGGGGTGCTTAATTAAGTTCCATGTGATTTATACTATACTACATCATCGGGTTGACTAGACTAGTGGAAGGATTTCTCGGTCAGCTTTCACTCGAAAGCGAGGAAGACTGGATTTATAGCATTTTTATTTATCGAAAACATAATTCATGATGTAGGATTTTTTTCACAAAATTGTTCCTACCAAGAAACAAAGTGAACTCAGCCCCTAAGCACAATGTTATAAAACATTGTCAAACGTGGACAGCAAAGCGTGCTTCATATGGCGGAAATTTGGAAGAATATTCTTTTCATTGGCGATATTTAAAATTGACGCGTTGATGGCCGATAAACCTTTCCCCATTTTTTGTGACAGTGCACAGTTTATGATTAAATACTTTATTTTGTATATTTTCTGTATGTATATATTTTGTATATATTTGCTACACATTTCACTTTAATTCTAAACAGTTACTAATATTGAAATATCACGTAGTTATCCTTCAAGTCATGGGTCAAGCTGATGTAAGTGCTTTGCAAAGATAATCAACACCTACCATATACCATTGAAATGTGTATATAAGCTGATTGTTTGAAGATCTTTTATGTATATGTATTCATGTACAACACACAACGCACAAACTCAAAATAAATATTGAAACATCTCTTCGAATGATCATTGACTTGCGTGAATTCTCCATTCTATTTTAAGGATTATAACTTGTTCTCCCGTAACAAGCCGGGTAACACTTAGCTCACACAACTGTGCATGTTCACTGTTTTAAGTGTCAAACTACTTCATGTTGATGTCGTAAATCCCCGTCCCTGACGTCTCAGCATGCGAGGACGTCTAGGTCCAAGGTCCATGGTCCAAGGTCCACGGCCACCGTAACAAAGGATCTTGCTCTCACTGGGTCAGCGAGGGACATTCTTCATTACGTATGTCACATGAATGGTGTAGCTCTGGCCAAGAATGTCAACAGAACTATTTATTTTCGTAAAACCCATCAACAGTGGTATATGAAAAATACATGAAGATAAAGAGTATAAATAGACAAGGTAACATTGTTATAACATGATTTTATAAATTCACAGAAGAAAACTTTACACTGGAAACATTTACATACTTAGGCACTGTACCCTGGAGACATCTTATGTTTGGTCGAAGAAAATGGATCAAATATTATTTACAATTAGTGTCCTGGGTCTGATTAGGCAAGGCCAGAAAATACTTATTAGATTGACATTCAAACATTCCCAAGAGAAAATATATTTTTAAAAACAAATTGTTCATGCATGGACATCAAGCACGCGACTTATGTCAGACAAAACAAGTTTTGCAAAACATCGTAAATGGTGTACATTATCCAGGAAAACGTCAGACAAATTCCCTTCATCTGAATGTCTTTGTCCACAATTAAATGAAGAGAGACTGGTTGTAAAGGGAACGTGAACACATCTAAATATATTTTGGGGAGCAAGTCTTTTCTTCGAGGGCATACGTAACATTCGGTTACTGAGTGCATTAACGGAACAACAGCTTCTTCGACGGAGATGCTCTTTTCTTTGGACATTACTTGGTGACCGGACGGATATAGATTTGAGAGAAATCGATATGTCACTAAATGGATGTTAAGTAACACAGACATAAAATACATATTTATAAACAGATATATACAAATAGGTATGTGTCATGCATATATACATATGTAGCCAAAGTGCTGTCACGTCCATTTCGAATGTTTACCTAGTAATTATACAAGCCACACATTAACCTTCTTGTTCAATCAATGGCGCTATATCGAGAACCGAACTAAAATAGTCTATTTACATTTCACAAAATCCAGAAATAAAACGAAGGGGCAACTACGTGGGATCGGATCAGTAGAAATTTCCTAAATAGGTCCTCGCTCATCATTCAATTTCCGTGACAATAAAAGGTTACCCCAATGTACCTCGACTTCGGGATTCAGTCTTCCCTAGATATGGGGATTGACTGGTCCATTCTTGGCCTTACAGAGAAGAAAGTTCCTTTGTCACCGCAAAAAGGTGGTAATCAGATTAACTATGAAAGAGAGAGCCTAAGACCATCCTCGTAAGGCCCGTGACGTCAGCAACATCGCAAACGATACAGAAGGTCCATGACCGGTCAAAGATAGAATGTTACGTTTCCAGTTCAATGGGCATTTCTGAGAAATAAGTCAAGAAACTTGGCAAAAAAGAAAGTCCAAGCAATGTTGTGACGTCCGATCAAGAAAGCACCAGGTTCAAAATGGCCCGTGTTAATCAAGCTCTGTTTGAAGCTAACCCGAAAGGATTCTTGCAACGATTGAGACAATGGATGTCATTGATTCGACATAACACTCCTGATCACTTGATCAATGCACTTTCCTCAAATAGTCTGTTTCCAAAGATCACAGACACCTGCCCAATTTACTGACTTGTCATGGCAAAACAATTTTCAGTGACTTAATTTCAATATCAAACACCTGTCCATCATTTCTGTACGTGGTATGTTTTCATGTGGAGGCCAGTGTAGGTAAAACTGTACTTTCATTTCAAACATGACATGTAACAATTAAAAAAAATAATGGAAACGGTAGAAAGTAGTCCTTAAAATCAATAATCATCTATACATGACAACTTTTGGTTTTAGATATAAGGTATATGGTACGACTCGTTTCCACCATGGCGCGGAAGTATGGCTCTTACAGCGTATATGTACAGTTGTCTTTTACCCTGTTTGGAAAGTTACACCACAGCGTGTCAGCTATATATCGGTGTGGGGGTTGGGGGGTGGGAAGAGAGAGAGAGAAGAGGAGGAGGGAGTACCTGATTGTCTTTATAATATTTTGGACATACGCCCGAGCTTGGACATTGTGCAAGCAAACCTAGAAACAGAGGGGCGTTCCGAACCCACGGTCATTGGTCTCCGGCACGCCAAAGGGACACAACTCTCAACAGCAATTTTAGCTGCCCGAGTCGACTGGACCCTCCTTGATTGTATCTCCATTTGCTTACGTTCAGTTAAGAATGGTGACCGAGATTTTCCAAGAGTGAGTGGGTGAGTTGAGTTTTACGCCGCTTTTAGCAATATTCCAGAATATCACGGCGGGGACACCAGAATTGGACACCCGGAAGATATATATATCAGTATATAATTCATTATATAATATATTAACATGGATTTTTGACCATCACCCTCTCACAATCCCCAACATATCATGATCTGAAGCGATGCTTACGGTTATACACACTTGTTTATATTACATCTGTATATCATTATAAGCGGACAGTTTGCCAATACCTTGTTTATCAGTATCAGAATGACTACAGGCAGTGTTTATGTTTATGGCTTTCATTGCAGTCATTTTGGATATAGGCCAATGGTCTGTCGAATGCGTCTGTCAAGATTGAAAATGTGCTCGCGAGCGCTGTTATTCAAACATGTCACGTGCTCTGTATGTCACGTGCACTGCTCTGAAGGTCACGGACGTTGTTGAACTTCTGCATGAAGTCTGCGATGGCGGAGAACACCTCGTCTGACTTCCGCTGTGGTGGTTCTCCCAAGTATTCCTGCAACATACACGCACCATGGTAAAGCATAACGACGCTAAAAGATATACACATTGTCGTCATATCTGATCGGGATTCATAACATATTTAAATCCGACTTGTACCCTGTGCCCTTTTTATAAATTGGTACTATTATTACCAATCACTTCCACCCTCAAACCTGGGGTTGAAAACCGGACGGAATGATGGGTAATTGATAACTTATATTGCTTCATATTGAAATATTTGTGCTAGTGGAAGTGAATGTTGGTTGATGTAAAACCCGAAATGTTTCTCGGGCATCACTTATATCACGTGAACCACAAATTTCTACTGCCAATAAAAATTCATCATTTATCCATGCTTGACAACTGACTTTGCAATGAAGACCCGTAGCGATGATTTGTTCTTATTGGTATTTATGGCGAATAATTAATTAAAACGTGTTCTGCCGTCATAGGTTATGATTAGCAAAGATACTGCCCTTTGTTTATAATAAACAATACTCCGACCTAATCAGCTTTGCTAATAACAAAATTATACCACCCTCATCACCTTTGTTTATAATAAGGGGGCCGTTCATAATTTATGGCTAGGGGGTGATAATGATAATTTTTATGGATAAGCATGTACAATGTGAATGACCCCCCTCCAGCCAATTTATGTACAAAGTAAGTGCCTCCAAACCCCTGCATGTCATGTACAAATTCAATGACACCCACCCCCTTAGTCCACACACACACACACACACACACGCACGCACACACACACACACACACACACCAACAAATATGAACGGTCCCTAAACAAAATAATGCCCCCCAAATTACCTTTCTTTAGAACAAAGATAATCCGCCCTCAGAAAATGTTGTATTTAGCCCTCAAGAACCATTAGCAAGTGCCAAATATTGACATCTATTTAGTAATTGGATTTTATAGAAACTTTGAAACTGTTTGGTTTCACTTAGCACATATTTTCCTTTTCACTGATTTAGAAAATACCCTTGATATATGATAGGTGGCATAACATACAATTTCCTTATCACCACTGTCTTTCGGCCTTAGGGGCGGCGGGGTAGCCTTGTGGTAAAAGCGTTCGATCGTCACGCCGATGACACGGGTTCGATTCCCCAGATGGGCAAAATGTCCCGTTTCTGGTGTCCCCCGCCGTCAGATTGCTGGAATATTGCCCAAAGCGGCGTAAAACACAACTCACTCACCCACTCTTTCCGCCTTCAAACCTTTAAAGTCATGCTAACAGTACCACATGAATATCTTTGAACGATCACGAACACTCATCGCTGCTGAAGTCATAGATTTTCGAGACGCTTCACACAGAATTTGATCGCTCTACTAAGTCATATCCGTTAAACTCACCAGCATCGTCTCGTATTCCCCCGTGACTCGCCCGTAGAGCTCTGTCAGACTGGTCACTTCAACTTCATATTTAGACAGGAAGCTCTGTCAACATTGAAACGTTTCATGAAAATCAGTCATGGCTCCAGAACATGTGTTGGTCATCTGTGTCCAAGGGTCAGTTTCATATCTGTATTTGATTGATAAATTTGTCAAAATACCACCGCAAACAAGAAGCGTCGTTATTTAGCGTATAAGGCCATTGGATATACTAAATATATACCTTGACGTCCGAGAAATATGTCCTCTCCTGCTTGTTCCATTTCTCTTTCTCCAGTTCCTCCACCACACCCCTCCGACGAACAAGTTCCCCCTTTAGAGCTGACAAACAATAAGAATTGTTGTTGTTTACAAGCTAAACCGTGTTGTCAAGTGTATTGATGTAGCATCATGTCCAGGACGTAATTTCCTTTCTTGATGACGTACATGTACTTAAATGGAAATTCCTTAAAGCATCACTGTTCACCAGCGGCCATGTTGCTTAATGGTTAACTGATTTGGCTACAGATACGAAGTAACATCGATCCAGTGAGTATAGTGGAGACATTTGTCGAGATATTAAACCATTCCGCACATTATGTTATGTACATTGCGTTAAAGTGGAATATAAGGACTTTCTATGGAATATCCCCAGGACAGAGAGGTATTCTGGAGAGTGCCCGACTCAGAGGGAGATCAGTTAAATAACTGCTTGACACCACTAAACGTATAATAGCATTTTTAGTGGATTGTTGATTATAACTTTTCATACTTTGGGTTTTAATACACCTAATAAACGCAGCAAGTCATCAATCCATGATTCAGTAAATCTTGAATAATCCTTACGTTGGCTGTTTGGTTCTTCAACTGCAGTGAAGCAGGGACGGGTGGTTCAGTAGTTTAAAATGCAGCAATCTGCTGTGCAGCATTGTCTTTCCGGCGAAACCTATCATGTGTTAATTTGAATCCAGATTCATTGATTATGTTTCTTGATTTGTTACGACCAGACTGACCACCTACCTTTCAGCTCCGCTTCCAGTGCTGGCATAGAGAGGTCAGCACACAACGGAACATGCTTGAGCGCGTCCGGCCAGCGTACAAGTTCCGGGTGTGATGTCTGTAGGTGTGAGAGGAGGTAGTCCATGACGCTGTATCCCGTGTCCGCGTTCTTTATGTCGAACACCTGCATAGAATTACAAAAAAGATTTTCAGATGTGTCCAGGAAACTACCCTCATGGCTGCCGTATCGGACAGAGTAATCTAAATTTAAGGAGGTGAAATCTCAGCCATAAGGTGACCATCACTCCAAAACTCCGGTCCCATTGATCCAGTGAAGTGAGTGAGTGAGTGAGTGAGTGAGTATGGCTTCACGCCGCTTTAAAAAATATTCCATCAATATCACGGCGGAGGACATCACAAATGGGCTTCACACATTGTACACACGTGGGGAATCGAGCCCAGGTCTTCGGCGTGACGAGCGAAACCGTTAACCACGACGCCCAAACCCTAGTGAAGCCAGTTCTCACTTTTTACGGTTTGAAAGCTAAAAGCGATATATACCAGATTTACTCACTCATTCTCAAAGGAGCAACTGAGCCACATCGAAGAATGTCCCAATTTCCGGTTCCGCGTATAATATCGGGACCAAAGGAGGCCTTTATCCGAATATAATCGGGTGCATGATTACAATCAAGTGACGACGAGATGCTTAGATTCTTGGAACAAACAAAGTTTTCTTTTTCTGTTTTCTTACATGAAGGCGGTTACTGTAATATTCATGTCCACAACGTCAACAAAGTTGAGTCCCTTGGGTATGCCGGAAAACGATGACCATTCGTTTGAGTCGAAGAATCGCACTGAATATGTATCTACGACCATACCCGTGCTTCTTGGTTTCACGAAAGTAGTTAAGATCCTTTCCTTCCAATTCTAGGTGACAAGCTTCTATACTTCAAGTTATTTCAAAGTGAAATGTAAACCGATTTATAATAATTTATCATTTTGTAACATGTTTATACACGGGATTACACTTTCACAGTAAAGTACAGATTCTAGTACTCTTTTTGTTGAGTTCTGTCCGAGATTCGAACCATCACACTCAGTCAAGCACCTAATCACCAGCACATGAAGTCAGCGAGAGACAGTGTAATAGACCGATCCAGTCTGTCAATCAAAACTGGCGCATGCGTCAAATTTGGCCAATCAGCAGGCCGGGCGCGCTGTGTGGATTTGTCGGACTTATTTCCGGGGTCAAACGATGCCTCCGAAGCGATGTGCTTCGAATGATGCCATTTACACTCGCTATATTTATTACATATTGCTGCGATTTGATGTGTACCTTTAACAAACCATTACGGTCAAGACAACAAAAATGGAGGCGGATCAAGAAACGCGATAGGCCTAACGATCAGTTAAATGTCTGCACCATCGTTCAGGAAACCTACGTCTGCCTGCTGATGAGAATTTGCACGAATTTCCACACTTTTGCACATGTGCAAAATCATTACCAATTGATGACAACAAAAAGCAGTTTAAGACTTTGCAAGTGTTATAAACACGGACAATTCTCGTAACTACAAAATTGTTTTTGCTTAACGTGTTTAGTCACTACTAGGCATTGAGTTGGTACGCCATAAAGCTCAAATGAGACATGCGAGAAAGCCGTGACACGATGTAAACAAATCTCCATTTCGGTTACGGTCAACCGAAATAGCAAAACTTGTTACATGAAAGAAAATGTGGCGGATATTGTCCCCTTCGCTCTTAGATATTCTTCAATTTGTCACACATTTTAGGATGTTTTAAGTTTCATAAGCACAATCTGAAGGCCTACAGTATCTTGTTAACAGAGCAAAATATTCGAGGAGTAATATTTTTTATTCAAACGGAAATATTGTCAGTGTCAGCAGTTGCCTATCATGCAATATCCAAGTATCAAACTTAATTCATATGAGTGCCTATAAAACCTTGCTTTAAATATTTCAGCTTTTTTATAAAGAGTTGCATGGGACTTTGAATTGAATTACCTTCCTCCATGTTGATCGAATACGAAAACTATGTGAGAAGAATAGTGATCGACTTTCTGGAGTATTGGACGGAGTGAAATAAAGTGTATATCTTAATTAGGAGAACATTATTTGAAGTTTTGTTACCACATAAATTATTCACATATATTGGTACATTCTAGGAGTAATATTACAACTGTAATTTTGATTAATTCACTGGAAATGATAGCAAAGGTATGTTTTAAGAATCTTGCTTTTTTAGTAAACGTGGAAGGGTAATAAAATTAATAATAATCTAATCAATAATAAATAATTATTTGATTGATTGACATATCAGATTCTTATGATTTTAAGGCAGAACTAGGCAAACAAACACCATACATATCATGGCAGGACAATCACTTGGTATTAACTTAGTTTCTTGGCTCCTGCTTTTAGATGTTTTTTAAATACTACATTTACTAATAAGATAATTCTGAAAGTGATTGCTAGTATCATAACTCATTTAAGTTATTTCAACATCAGAGAATTTGAAAAAGCAAAGGCTACGTTTTGGTCAACCCTGGTCAGGCATTATCCAGTCCTGGAACAGAATAACTTACAAAAATCTCAGTTGACTTTTCATGTAACGGAATAAATATTGAAACATATATTTAACCCATATTTGATGTAATTCTTCTGATAAATCATCAGTTTTTTAGGAGGTTACTAATATTTGAAGACTGAGCCAAAGCTAGTGTTTATTAAGATGATGGATTTGGACAAATTGTTCAAGGTTTGTTGATGGTTATTTGGAAAATGAGTTTCATATTAAATTGCACACTGGTTTGTAGGAGGTGAACGCTTCAGGACATTTTCATGTCTGTTTTCCTAAACCTTTGTTATGACTTTGACCAAATTTTGAATCAACTTTACTATAATTCTTATGACACCAGTAAGTATCTCAGAAAGGAAATAGATCAAAATCAGTGTTATGTCCTCTAGGGATATGGTCTCAGATCTAATAAAACAAAGATTATCATTGTTTAATTAAGAAGCAATAATGTCAATATGTAATTGTATTGACAAAAAGCTTTGAACTTAGGATATATTCTTTGCACCTTATTTACACTAGTAGTTAGCAGTTAAACATCTCTGATGAAAAAACAATAGATCTACATTTGTATTTTGTGTAACATTCTATTTCAATGCTAGTTAATTGTTCGGATAACTGTGGATCCTCTGTTCCAAGATTTTGCATCACATGTTTCCTATTTCTGGAAGATGGGTCAGCTAGTGTACAGGTGCAGACTGTATCTTGGATCTTCTTTGTGTTCTGGTGCTGTGACATACCTGTACATAAACGCTGGCAGTTCATGAAGTCCAGTATTGTGGAAGTTTGTATGTAAATTAGGATTCAATAACAAAGTACATATAGAAAAATAAAATGGAAATGATGATTAAAAAAATGATTTTCTTATATTCAGTGTCATTTTATCATGGTGTACAGATTTTGAAGAGAGAAACTTTACTGAGAATTGCTGCAGATCAGCTGTTGAATATTTGCTTCTGGGTATGTCCAGATACGTCCATGGAAACATACTGTTTACAAGCCCAATTACCTTTTCCAGATTTCCAAATAAGATCAAATAGGTTATGCTGTGATTGATTTGTTTACATTAATTATATACAGACAAATAAGGTGCATGAAGTAGTAGACAGGAAATATTTTCTGCTTTTTATTTACCATTCTCTTAATTCATTAAAAGATAGAAACCCATGTTTTCAGATTATTGAACTAAATTTGAACAACGCCAAAAAATAAGTAAAGGCGCCACGCGCACGTGTTGATAATCTATTTATAGATACCGAAACGATCTGCAACATGAACATGTGGTTGTGTTCACGAGTTTTATAAAATTATAAATACAAACAACAAAATTCAGTTACCCTTCCCCTGCTAATAGCTGTGACGGAGGTGAATTGCCAGATAGATTAATTGATTCGAAAGAAATTACGCTTCCAACAGTCTCAGCAGCTAGTCGAGACGATTTTTCATCGGGCATGTAACTCATTTTCACTCGCCAGTTGCAACCTGCCAGCTAGAATATATTTAAAATCACATACGTATAACTTGCCTCTTTAAATAACATTCCCAAACGACGGATACCTATAGACCGATCCAGTCCCGGCCGATAAGCCCCGCCCACTTCGTTTTTGACGTTAGGGGGGACAACCACTGGCAAATCACAATGGCGTCAGCGCCGGCGAAACGTTACGTGATTGCGAACGTTGTTGATGAATTCTGCTTGTGATACTTTGGTATCCGTCGTTTGGGAATGTTATTTAAAGAGGCAAGTTATACGTATGTGATTTTAAATATATTCTAGCTGGCAGGTTGCAACTGGCGAGTGAAAATGAGTTACATGCCCGATGAAAAATCGTCTCGACTAGCTGCTGAGCTCGAGACTGTAGGAAGCGTAATTTCTTTCGAATCAATTAATCTATTTGGCAATTCACCTCCGTCACAGATATTAGCAGGAGAAGGGTAACTGAATTTGGTTGTTTGGGTTTATAATTTTATAAAACTCGTGAACACAACCACAAGTTCATGTTGCAGATCGTTTCGGTATCTATAAATAGATTATCAACACTGCCTTTACTTATCCGTTGGCGTTGTTCAAATTTAGTTCAATATCTGAAAACATGGGTTTCTATCTTTTAATGAATTAAGAGAATGGTAAATAAAAAGCAGAAAATATTTCCCGTCTACTACTTCATGCATCTTATTTGTCTCTATATAATTAATGTAAACAAATCAATCACAGCATAACCTATTTGATCTTATTTGGAAATCTGGAAACGGTAATATTGGGCTTGTAAACAGTATGTTTCCATGGACTATCTGGACATACCCAGAATCAAATATTCAACAGCTGATCTGCAGCAATTCTCAGTAAAGTTTCTATCTTCAAAATCTGTACACCATGATAAAATGACACTGAATATAAGGAAATCATTTTTGTAATCATCATACCATTTTATTTTTCTATATGTACTTTGTTGTGGAATCCTAATTTACATACAAACTTCCACAATACTGGACTTCATGAACTGCCAGCGTTTATGTACAGGTATGTCACAGCACCAGAACACAAAGAAGATCCAAGATACAGTCTGCACCTGTACACTAGCTGAC